ATGCGATTCACATCCATCATGCGTGTTTAATAGGGCTACGTGCGCGGAGTAGAAACACACATATTAGCGATATTTCTATTTCTAGGAAGTTTGAGGCAATAGAATAATGTAAGGCGGGATGTTTTGTAGTCAGGTGGGAAAGGATGAAAATCTATTAATTAATTTTGTATGGCCTAAAGTAGCGACTATGGTGTCGTGTAAAACATCGGACAATCTCATTTTAGCCGAATGCTACAAATTGGCCTTGGAGAATTTTGTTTTAATGAATAATAATGTGATTATTTCTGTAACTGATACAGCAATACTGCTGATGTGGCTTTAAGCAATATTTACTCTCTCACTGACAGTGATATTTTGTTTTCAGCTTCCGGACACATTAATGTTTTCACTATCCATGAACATTCATGTACACAATTTCTTTTGTTAAATTATATTTAGCATGTTGAGGGGTTTAATTTAAAGTACATAGAAAACAGTACCAAAGGGAGGGGAGTCTACTCTACTCTACATGGGACGTTGTGTATGTAAATTACATAGCATTTTCAAGCTCAATATTTTCTAAATGCTACTTGGAGAATGAAGAGCATGAAAGAAGCACGACCAATGTGCATGACTACTAATGTGCGCATGCGCCTTGACCTTATGATATTACGCATGCGCACGGACAGCGTCTAAAAAACGACAACACGAGAACGCGAGATCGCGAGAAAATAAAATGTCGCATTCTCGCGTTCTCGCGATTTTTGTGTTTTTGTGGCCTAAGTCGAGATTGCGAGATTGCGAGATTTTGCATCATGTCCAAATGTCGCATTCTCGCGTAGTCGATTTTTGACAAAAAGCGTTATGTATCAAAAACACGCATTCTCGTGGCATATTTAGCTCGTTTCCAAAGGTCGAGATGGCGAGAATGCGAATCGCGAGAATGTCCCTTACAGTATTTCATAATTACCTGTAGGAACATATTATTTATACTCGTCCATGTTTTTAACGGACAATATAATTTACATGCTCGGTAATAGTGAAGACGGGCATCATTGAATGTTTCCGTGTTTTGTTCAGGTGAACAATTGACTTGTCCTTGCATGTGTTTGTGATGGGTGTCACCTGTGTGGCAGAATACGCTCACCTTTTCGCGAACACCCGTTGGATGGCCTGAACCACTTCGGATTTTTATCCCACATCAGTCTGATACACCGTGATATAACTGAAATACTGTTCAAAGTGGTGTTTAATGCGATCACCGTAGTGTGTTACTGCAACTGTCCAAATTTTGAGTAGTGATGTTATGTAATATGTAAAATAAAGCATATTCAATTATCCAATTGATTAGAATATACTTGCGTCAGTGTATTTTATTAACGCCCAAAACCGTATTTGTTAAACACATATAATAACAGATCATATACACGCATGGTGCCTTGACTTACTGTCAGCTTTAATAGGCCATTCCGGAATAAAATAGTTCCCCCAAAAGCGAGGAACATCTGTTTTAGTTTGTTTACAAGAAATATATTCCAAAACAATATCCTCATTACATGAGAAGGTCTGCTAAGAACTACCTCAGTAACTCAATCACAATGACAGAGCGTCGTAATACATTATATTTACATCAAGTACAAGACGTCAAAATGGCCGACACGATAAACGTGACGGGGGTATTTCCGAAGTTATTTATCAACCTGTGGCGATTATAAGCCTTTGTCACCACTGATCAATTGGCCGATCATTGAAAGGTGATTGTAAAGATGTGTCAAATAGATACTAAGGTAAATTCATAGATATGAATTCGTACTAGGGAATTCGTACTAGGGAATTACCAAGGTTTTCCCCAGGAATGTGGAAGTAGTCAGTGCTTACGTAATTTCAAGCATACAGTCACGTGAAAAACGTCATGTGACCCACCTCTCGTCCTATGGAAAAGCCGTATATCGTGTAAACTTCACATTACAAAATTAGTTACTGTTATAACCAAATGAAACATTATCCGATAGAGGTAACTGTGCATAGCGGAGGGCTATGTTATCTCAATAAACTTGGTAACATGGTTTGGTTTGACTTCTTAGCTTCTTCTGAATTCCATTAACATGTTACATATCCTAAAACGGACTAATCAGCAAATCTCGCTGCGCGCGACAGATACTAGAGCAAGGCATGCCAGAAATACGAAACCTAATGCTTCCGAAAGGAAGCCTTTGGCATCACGTGCGTCGGGGGACCAGCGCCAACTGATTGGCCGTTGGCAGTTGTACAAGGGGAGCAAAAAGCATCGTTTTTCCGTCCATTTTACGCTTGAAAAACTCGACGCTGTTCCGGACACTTTCTAGACGCTAACCAATTAATCAATTTCAATGAATTTTTAGTCGTTTTTCCGTCCAATGACCATATAAGGAAAAAAACGACGTTTGCGGTGTGTATCGTTCACAACGACATATTAAGTCCTGGTAGTTTGTGAATGTTTACGAATTTCCTATGTACAAACAAGTCCGAATACTAACTTCTTGTCTTCCGGAATTGAAAACCTCATTATAAATATTGTTAACCCGATAGCCTAAAACTTAAATTGATAACCCTGAATTTACTTTTGGAAACATGCTTTTTTTAAACATTCTTTTGAAAGTGATACTTTATCATCAGAAGCGTCCTCATACGTTCTATATTCTTAAACATTCCTATTATATTGCAAACGCACTCACACGGAACATCCGAACCTTCTGCGGATATTGTCATAATCAAGAGCCATTTTACAATCGTATCCTGTATTTTCTGAAGAAATAAGGGTGGATTAACCTAGTGGTTAAAACATTCGCTCGTCACGCCAAAGACCTGGGTTCGATTCCCCACATGGGTACAATGTGTGAAGCCCATTTCTGGTGTTCTCCGCCTTGTTATTGCTGGAACATTGCTAAATGCGGCGTTAAACCATACTCACTCACTGAAGAAATACATGTGGTTTTGTTTACAAAGCGGCATATTACTATTAAAATACGGAAATTAAATCAATTATCTAATGACTTATTGTAACTGTTTGTGATAATTACTACACTTAATATCAGTTCTTGTATTGTCGGTGTTTCGGCCTGAACACTGTCCTAAACAGGACAGGTGCGGAGACCTTATTTGAGGGACGACCCGATGATAATTGGTCTTCAACAACACATGATTGTCGTAATAGGCAACTAACGGGATCCGGTGGTCAGGCTCGCTGACATGGTTTACGCATGTCATCGTACGCCAATTGCGTAGATCGATACTCACGATGTCTGGTCCAGATTATTTACAAATCGCCGCCCATATCTGGAATAGTGTTGTGTGCAGCAATAAACAACACACAAAACACTTTTCATTTGTTTGAGGCTTGTCATTTTCTACGGATCGAGGTCACGTGCGTTTGTATTTCCTCAACAAAGCGGATGTCATTTGTGTCACGGCATGTACTGATTACCGTTTCTCAATCAATATAAATAACCAAATTGTGTTGTGTTTACAAATTAAAACGTCATATCCGTGTTTAACAATTTCATAAATCAATGTTATTTTTTGAAAATAACAGACGCTAATTTGACAGTATCATAATGTCGCGCTATATTTGTAGACCTAGCAATGAACATCTTCACAAAAAGATAAGAAAAAGCATATGATTTGTCGAATTTGCGCGCCAACAAACTGAAATATACACATACTACTACTTGAAGGCCCCAAATATAACGACATAGGGTTCACACAAAAGGACTCACACGGTGGATTCACACATCAAAATTCACACAAAGGATTCAAACAATGGACTCACACAAAGGATTCACACAATGGACTCATACAAAGGATTCACGCAGGATTTACACAGTGGACTCACATAAAGGATTCACACAACTGACTCATACAAAGGATTCACACAGGATTCACACAATGGACTCATTCAAAGGATTCACACAGGATTCACACAATGGACTCACACAAAGGATTCACACAAAGGACTCTGGCTCAAAAGCTGTGTCATCAGAGTTAAAACTTTCATGGCTGTAATCAAAGCATTCAAAATGTTTCATGATAGACGAAGGACATGTCCACATTTTACGCACCAGTGACCAAAATGTTGTCTGATGCATTTACCTTTTTCTCAGTACCATGCTCATAGTATAGTCGGATTCGTTCAATAGACTTTTAGCGGGGATTTCAGGCAAAAAATACATAGTCTTTTATGTAAATTATGTAAGTGGCGGGTACTACCGATTGGACAGGACATGCTTACCCTTTTCGCGAACACCTGGAGTCATCAATGATTTTCAGTGATCCATTCATATAATTGACACAACTATTTTGCCATTTACGCTCAATGGAATCCGTTTCGTTGGATAACTGAGACAACTCTTCCTTGGCGTTTAATAGTTATGTTTGCGGAAAGGGTTTTGTCGCTTTTATTCACACATTGTAATGACAAGTTGTTGTGCCACAGAAATAAAGATTGCACAAGCTTGTTTATGGTGGCACCGTGCCTATATCAATTACATTGAACAATAGCTCACACATCAACATAATGTCCATGAGACATTCGACCCGTGAAGATCCGGGGTAGAATGCATCTTCAGCAACCCATACTTGACGTAAAAAGCGACTATGTTTGTCGTAAGAGGCGACTAATGGGAGCGGGTGGCCAGGCTCGCTGACTTGGTTGATGCATGTCATCGTATCCCAATTGCGTGGATCGATGCGCATGATGTCAATTACTGGATTGTCTGGTCCAGACATGATTATTTACAAACCGCCGTCATATAGCTGGAATATTGCTGAGTGCGGCGTTACTTAACAAACAAACAAAACAACATTCGACACATACGTGCACGAATAACGTCCTGAGTGGGCTAGCCTTGCGATTCAACACAACAATGGGACAGATAACGATCTCTGAGCTAAATCAACGGCAAGCTGTTTCTATTGGTCTATAAATGATAAATGGGATTTGTGTTACACTGCGTCGTTAACTATCGCAATGTTCATAGCACTGTTTTCCCAGGCTGACGTTCTGTCTTAGCTCCAGATGCATGTTGATAAGTAAGGTAAGTAATGTTGAAATCATCCAAGTCTTTCTGGAAATGTGATGACTCCTTATTTGCAGGTCTAATATATTGACGTAACCTTGTAAAAAGAAAACTACCGTTTTGCATTTTTGCGTTCGAAGGAAAGAAAGATCAGATGACCTTTTCAGTGGGTTTTTACAATGATGATAGAAAGAACGTCAACGCCAAAAAATATCGATTATCGATTATCCAATGAAAATTAATTCTGAAAATCAGAGAGATGACATCACAAAGCCACAACAAATTATATCACCTTTCCGTATGTTTTGTTACAGTCTATGAGTGAGTGGGTGAGTGAGTGAGTGAGTGAGTGATTGAGGGGACCCATTTTAGGAACAGCCGGTCCTGTGTTTTATTTCTGTTAAGTATGCCACATTACTATTAACATGTATACATGGACCAAGCATACTGCTGTCAGGAACAGCAATGTGAACTTCATAGACACATCACGTATCTATGTCGTTGGTTGGTCGGTTTGTTGTTTGTCGCCGCACTCAGCAATATTCCAGCTAAATGATGGTGGTATGTAAATAATCGAGTCTGGACCAGACAATCCAGTGATTAATATCGTGAGCATCTATCCACGTAATTGGGATCGAGGACATGTATCAACCAAGTCAGCGAGCCTGACCACCCGATCCTGTTAGTCGCCCCTTACGACAAGCATAGTCGTCTTTTACGACAAGCATGGATTACGTATCTATGTCAATATATGATGTTCCAAATGGTAAATTGACACGTCTCACTAAAAACGACCGGAGTACAAATTGTTGGCGTTTGTTTGGAACATATCTTGTATTAGTACTTATCAATACTTATTACCTAGCAAATAAAAGGCGAAACTCGAAATAACGTATATTTTGACGTTGGTACCTGGCCTATTTGTTCTTGGAAGAAATGTTTTGGTCGAAGTCCTTCACTAACTATAAGCCAGCACACGCAAGCACACACACACACACACTACAAAACGACACATCCACACACACACACACACTACAAAACGACACATCCACACACACACACACACACACTACAAAACGACACATCCACACACACAAAATCACGAATGAAATCTTAACATTCCCGTTTTTCGAACACTTCCCTGTCCTGCCGCCAGTTGTTATTGATGTTAATTAATCCATCACGAGATCTAATACGCTAGTGGGTTCGAAGGTTGGAAAGTTGCCCTAATCAAGACAATACTCAATTATTGAAGATCCGGCAACGTCCGACAGCATCGCTGATACTATCAGCACTGATGACTTTGCATGAACCCATGCCGGAACGGCTCACATAGCATGAGATTGTAGCATTACCTTAGTGATGGCGACTGTAACTACACAGAACGACGTTGTATGAACACATTGACTACTACCTAGGGAAGGAGGCAAGGTAAGGACGACTGTGTCGATTATAGCCTTCACCGCATTGTTCCTTCTTTAAGTAATACATACGTTGTAATGGATACGGTAAACGAATGGGAATGTGCACTTGACGCCAAGTTAATTGTTTTCGGTGTTCGAACTTGACAAGGTTGGTGGATAAAACAATCAGTCAATGACGTTTCTTTACAAACCCGCTGTTCCCGACAAGGTCGCTTGAACAGAGCGGTCGTAAATTCTATTATAACGTCCATACATTAACATAGGCATACAATTCCCGAAACACAATTATTGCCTTGCCCTGAGGAACTCACCGCAGTAACACAGAACATGGAAGCAATTGAATCATCACAAATTATGACAGTTAGTGCCTGTTTTTACACTCACATTTAATGTACATGTATGCGTATGAAAAGTGGATAATGTCGTGGGCATGTGTGGCGGGGGAGGAGGGAGGGGGTCGGGGGGTTGGGGGGGGGGGGGGGGGGGGGGGTTGGGGGTGAGATACACTAGACATGACAAGTGCATGAAAGTACGACTGAAAATCAGTAATCATTACAATTGTATAACAAAGTTATCATAAGTTTGTTTGCCATTTTGTGACAGACATATCATGGTACACCAACAGTTCACCTTGCCTACGGTATGAAGGCTGACATTCACACCCCCTGCTTTACGAGAAATAGTCCAGTATATTTTTATCATATAAGACACATGTTGTTTATTACAGTGGTTTTACAGCTCATTGATTCTGATATCAAAAGCCAGTCCAAACTGTTACTGTGACTTTTTTAACTCACTCACTCACTAAAACTGTTACTTAAAAAGCCGTTTTTAGTGAAATTATTGTGCATTATGCCCCCCAGCAGAGTTCACGTATAAAGCAGTGTTGTAAAAAATTGGGTTTGAAACATTTTTATGGGTATTATTACGCAAGCGGCTCAATATTATTGAATAATGGTGATTTGTTTGCGTAATTATACGCAAATATAAGATAGTTACTCGATAAATCGCTAAGAAAACGAAGAACGAAGCGCGGTTCATTTGACGATAAACTATTGTTCTATCATGACGTCATCCCTGGAGATTCGCTAGCAACTAGATAACAAGCAGCATGATGAAGCCAGATGTGCATAGATCATCCCATTATATGTGTGCTACTTGGTATTTATTACATGTTGTTGTTGATTTTAATCTGCTGCTTATCACAAAATATATCATATATATATGCCTCTCTTCACTTGGTGGGGCGGTGGGGTAGCCAAGTGGTAGAACGTTCGCTCGTCACGCCGAAGACCCGGGTTCACTTACTTCATGAGACTACAATGACTTGTGACTACAATGTGTGAAGCCCATTTCTGGTGTTCCCTGCCGTGATATTGCTGGAATATTGCTAAAAGCTGCGTAAAACCATACTCACTCACTATTTACTTGGTTGTGACTCCAGCTTGTTAGGGTGTCAGAATCTACATCGAAACGTCGCTATATGCAATCAACCAGAAGTTTTTAATCCCTAATTCTTCATATTTACTTATATTACCCACTTCTAGAAGTCAAACAAACCGTTGGAATGAACTCGGAGCTCCTGTCCTGTGTCGGTAATCTCTTCTGTACCGTCCTCGTCCTGTATTGACCACCATTGTATAGCTGTTTCCATGTATTATAATTTCAAATTGCCTGGTATTCCAGCAGCACGCGGTCTTGATCGTGACATGAAATAATTATTTCCCTAATACAATTGTTAAGTAACTGCTGGAGATGACCCGAGCTGTGCTGAACTGTTCCTTTCGAATATATTCAGGAACTGAATGTAGTAATTCGTTTTTTTAGTATTTAGCAAGCATCAGCCAGCCAGCAAGCCAGTGAGCGAGCGAGCGAGCGTGCGTGCGTGCGTGCGTGCGTGCGAGCGAGCGTGAGTGCGTGCGTGCGTGCGTGCGTGCGTGCGTGCGTGCGTGCGTGCGTCATATATGTATTGGAGACTGGCTAAACACACACTATACAACATTAGTGAAGTAGTAGAGATACCACCATGACGTATATGTGTTCGAGTCTGGACGGAAGACACCGTACTTTGTATTCAGTATAAACACAAGCACTGGATATGCAACAATATGCATTAAAATGTGAAATGTATTTCAGGTCTGGGTTCTCGATATTACCCAAACTGTCAACATGCTACGGATTACTGCTCCTCTTTCCTGGCCATTTCGTGCAAGATTACCGGTATGTATGCAGCATTCTTCACACATCACACATCCACTATTCACAAATGCCCACGCTTTCTAGACTGTATGTAGTTATTCCGAGGGGGAAAGGAATAGTCCAGTCGCTTTCGCGATTCTTGGTTTGCCGTTTCACTGCGGGCTCTACTTGCGCATAAAGCTGACTTGTGATATAAGCGGAGTTAAACCCAACTCACTCACTCATTCACTCAGAAAGGTTTCTTCAAAAAACACATTATATACGTATATTGTGTATTGTGACGTTCTATACAACTGAAGGGCCGCCTGTGTAATACAGGACTGAAAACCAATTTCCAAAAAATAGTAATAAAGGCTGAAAATGAATGTATTGTGTTTCAAGTACAAATTCATTTCAAAGAATAAGAGATAGTCACCAGGAAGCCAGTACAGTTCAAGGGTAACCAACCCTTGTGCAGCCACCCCTATTTCTGATCCACCGCAGAGCCATGTCAGCTAAACTGCCGGGCAAACGAAAGTAATTGGATTTGACAAAATGATTAGAAGCGTTATCAAAACGTTACAAGACAGAAAAAAAGTCCCCTAAACACGACCAGCTTAAGATCCAAAACATAATTATGACACCTATCAAATACATCACTATTGAATTTCACTTTATATTGTTTTATCATCAGCCACCATCAAACTTTCATTTGCCAGGCAGATTATTTGCAGACTCCCAAGATATGTGGCAGAGCGTGGCTTCTGTACACACGGGACCTAAGGTCATTCCAGAGATGTTCGCTGAAACTAAGGTCAGGAGAACAGACACCGACCACGTTGACACCTCACAGTCATCATGAACGATACCACAATTGCCGATATGCTAGTATCTCGTCTCTAGAGCGTTGTAACCGTGTAACTGTGTCCTTGCAATAGCTGTGTAATGTCACCCTAGGCCATGGAACCACCACCAAATTCATTATGTGCCTTTGCAACAGCATCCTCTAAACGTTCATGGTGCTGTCAGCAAACACGCCAGCGGTCATCTGAGAAGAGAGCTGATTCCGACATGCCATCTGCGCCATAGCTTTCGAGCTTGGCATGGCGGTCAAATTGGTGGACAGAGATCAGAAGAACACCTTATGTTCCTCAGGATGGTCAAGCTAATGCGAAAGTTTATCACATCAACGCGTTCATTTCTTTAATTACATGACGTCATACACCTGCTACGCAACATATGGGTAACAAAGGAACTCCTGTAAGTGTGTGTGCTGTGGACGACCAGGTCTTTTTCGATATAGAAGGGTTCCATTGGTTTGGCACAGTCTTACAGTAAAAGCGTCTGACAGTGATGCTAGAACCTGCTGCCACGTTGCGTCTTACCCGTTTGGAGCACCCCTATGGCCCCTGATTTTCAGTGGTCCATTCATATAATTTTCACAGCTATTGTGCCCTTTTCGGCGGGACCGCCTCCGTGGTCTTGTGGTAGAGCGTCCGCCCGGAGAGCGGAAGGTCCGGGGTTCGATCCCCGACCGCGTCATACCAAAAGACGTTAAAAGACGGTACTTGTTGTTACCCTGTCTGGCGCTCAGCATTGAAGGGCTAAAACAAGGACTGGTCGGCTCAGAGTCAGTATACTGTGTCTGAGTGGGGTATTCCTGTTAAACTGCGGCATGGTATCTCAGTGAGCTGGCACTATAAATCGGCATCAGTCCGGAGTAGTACAAGCAGCCACACAAACACACACACGTAAATGCACGTCGCTATATAAGTGCAATAATCTTGGACGCGACGTTAAACCCCATTTCACCTCACCTCACCTCACCTCACCTTTTCGGCGGATATTCTAGACTGGTTATTCTCTTACATTAACCTTTTATATTTGCATTATACTTTGCATTATTTGCAATCGACGTTGTTTTCAGGCGCCTATTGTCATCTAGCTAATGATACTATGCCTGAAATCAAAGTGTCTATTCCTCGGCTGTGCAGATATTAATTGGCTGTGTCATTTTGGTCAGTGTTCACCTGCTCTTGTATCATTGTTCCTAGTTCGCATACGGTTTTCACTAGTGATACCAACATATTCATCATGATGTGTTTTTAGACAACTGGGTGTTTGTTTACATCCATCTCGCCATGATGCTGGTGCTAATCAATATATCCTTCATGGAAAGCTAACCTCCGTTTTCCTATTCCATGATAAGGCCTGATCGTGAAATTAAAAACCGGAGGAACGTTTTAGTTGATATATAGATTAGCACCAGCGCTTCAAGTCGATCGTGGAATATCTTTTGTGCGTTTTCCTCACCTGAGCGCTTTTGCACTTTCTACCATTTCTGCACAGCATTTCTTTTGGATATCCGAAAAAGGTGTTTTTTTTGCTGCTCGTGGTTTTTTTCCCATACCAATGGGTTGTGTTGTTAGCTAAGATTTGTAATGGTTTGGTCATATCAAATTTTCAAGTGTTTACTTTCTTTGGCCCTGCAGGATTTTTTTTGCGTGCAATCGCAAAACATATTGAATTAATTCTTAAATGGCTGTCATGTGTATATCAGTGTCCACATGTCAAGTTTGGCAAAGTTTGAATGTTTAGCCAATCAAAAAGTGTATTTTCTCGACTGTAGGAAATGTACCGTCAAACCAACAGGTGGGGTTGCAATGAGACCTGGGCTTGGCTGTTTTATTTTATAAAATCGAGACCAAGACAAGATCGTCTCATTACATTAATTCTACTACGCAATATATTCAAATCTGCCCCTCTTATCAATAGAGAACTCCGCACAATAAAAGGAAGGCTCCGTGCAGCCCTCCTGTCCTGTGAAGAGTGTGACCCTGTTACCGTTGACGACAAAGATTGAGGTGGGCTAGGCAACACCAAAGACGGGCTGTGCGCCAATGGTGTTATACAAGGTTTAGACTGCGATTCACAGATGACAGTAAAGGTATTTGACGACGTAGCGGCTAGCGGTATGCTATGGCAACAATTCTTGATCATGATCGCTATCGGGGCGGCATTGTCATGGTGTAGGGTGGTATTACACACAGGCGAGCTGATTTGGTTTTTGTGAATGGACATTTGACAGGCCAGCGACATGTTGACGATCCGCTGTAATTACTGGCAGAAAAGACCCGTGAAGATCCGGGATAGAATAGGCCTTCAGCAACCAATGCTTGCCATAAAAAAGGCGACTATGCTTGCCGCAAGAGGCGACTAACGGAATCGGGTGGTCAGGCTCGCTGACTTGGGTGATGCTAGTCATCGATCCAAAGTTCATGGATCGATGCTCGTGATGTCAATCACTGGTCCAGATTGTCTGGTCCAGACGCGATTATTTACAGACCGCCGTCACATAGCTGGAATATTGCTGAGTGCGGCGTAAAACAACAAACAAACAAACTGGCAGAAACTTTGAACTGTAAGTTGACAATGCCAGACCAGATTCTTCCTAGGCCGTCGCCGATCAATCAATTATCAATAATATATTTTTTTTAAAATAAGCACTCAGTTTCAGGTGAGCAATCAAAAAGGCAATCTAATGGGTCAAATATGTGCCTGAAGCAATAAGTAACAGGCCCAAGAATAAATGTAAGTACACTCACGAACGTTTGTCTTGAAATTGCTCGTGTCCGTGCTGGAATCCAGAATAGTGTTGGAAGCTGGCCAGAATGCATTGTTTCCAATAGATTACATACAAGTAAGGTTGAAAAGACCTCGAACCTCCCTCCTATCGCTCTAAGGCACAGCCAGCTATCCAGAAACAATACCATCCAGAAATTTCGCGAACGATCACGTTTGTCATGTTCATTTTCACAAAACCATCTCCAAAGCACTACCCGCTGTTGATTGCGGTTCAAATCGGGTCACGATATCACGTGATATCTTTTCACCAGTAGTTCAATCATTTGCTGCTACTGGCAGTTGCGACAAACAAAATCTGCAACTAAGATTACTTACACATATCACTTTCATATAGTGCTGGCATGCCTTGTTATACATGTAATTGAACATTCACGCGCTGATTCATTTTGCAATACGCAAAGATATGTCCTTTTCACAGTCGTTACTAACTAACCTCGTGGTAGATATTCAGACTTAACATTGGCATTCTAGTGGAGTGGCCTGATTGTATTTCTTAGAATTGAGTATTCAAAACGTGATTGATCTTCGTGACTTTGTTTATCAATTCTTCACGATATCGATCCGCCTAAGAATCCAAAAATATCTTTGTATCAACAAGGGACAAGGGTAGCCAAGTCGTCTAAAGCGCCGCAGTCGGATATGCAGACCTGCGTCCCTTGGGTTTGCCAAAAACCTTTGCTTGTGGGTTCGAATCCCTGTCCGCCCAGATAATGTTTCAAGATCTGTCAGCAGTGCTCGTGGGTTTCCACAAAGTGGTACACGTCCAAGGCCTGCATCACAAGGCCTGCTTTTCTACCACATTAAGCTGACACGCCGTGCCCCCTGTGAATATATAGGAAAGTGATGCATTAAAAGGGTTCCAGATGATATGGCTGCTCGCAGCTATTGTTATTATTTAAGTAAATGCAGCAAAGGGAGTTAGGTGATCCTGGCACAGTCGGGCTGGGTAGGTTCACCATCAGCTCAGGGCTCTTGTCCCTCTACACACAGCCCAGACAGCGACTGGGACTTCTCCCAGGAGGCGCTGCTTAGTCATACCCACCGAAAACTTTTCGGAGAATGTGAAGACTCCCCAACACTGCAGCCTTTCTGCATTACCCAGATTGTCAGAAGAGCTATATTCTTGGTAGCAAACCCGAGTACTCTCCCAATGTCAGTCAACGGGTTGGGACAACTTGGTACTTGGGATGCAAGCGTGACATTGCGAAAGCGCGGTCCGCATATTTGCCATGTTTTTCCTCAACCTTGTCAATCACATTAGTGTAAAAAGGGACAGAAAATTCGATGACATAAATGAAGTTTGTATTTATCATTTTCCATGACGCCCTCTAGATATTCTCGGACGTACCATGGATGGACCTCTGTGTCAAACCACAAGCATGGGGAAAACGGTAATAAAATGATCGAGGCACTCTATCATGTCGTTTAAGATACTGTGTTTGTGCCAAAGCTGGGAATCCACTGACAATGTGTTGGGCAGTCTCATTAAATTCATTGCATAATCTCCATTTCAGATTTACATTTTGATGCAATATCCCAAATTGACGGTTTCGAGTGGGACTTGACTGGTCTTGGGCAGAAAGTTTTCTGTTACACTTTTCAGGCCAGCCGACTTCATCCAAGCGAAGGACTCTGCATGGTTACTGATCTCCTCAACACACTGTACATAAACTCGATGCAGGGGTAATTCAGAAAGCTTCTCCTTTAAAAAACTGAGGCTGGGCCGCTTTGATATGGCACTTCGCTTGGTTGACGCTCATTTCTGTACCGTCTAGCAGTACAGAGCCATCAACAAAATCAACACTGACATTGAGATTATGTAACACATCCTTGGCGCGTTAACAAAAACCCTGTGGAATGCCTTGCTTTCATCATGAGTCTTGACATGCGTCACAAGAGGATCATCAGACAAATAAACGTGTGCAAAAGAGTTCAAAACAATTCTATTATGAAGAGCCTCCACGTTAATAAAATCAAGCCCTTCCATTATGATTGGTAAATATAAGCGATTGAGGGAAGACCGATGGTGGTGGGATCTATTGTCTGACATGATTCTTCGTGTGGGAGTGTCAATACCCTGAATTTCTTGGTTCGTCCAATCTTTATTATTATAATTATTATTATTATACAAAATGCAGCAAAGAGGGTTTGGGTGATCCCTGCAGTATGGCTGGTTGGGCTCATCATCAGCTCAGGGCCCAGCCCCCTCTACACACCGCCCAGACAGCGAATGGGACTTCTCCCATTTTTATTTTTATTATTACAAACTGTAACTCAAGAACCAGTCGTCTGTCTTAATCTGTTTCAGTTCAGGCCAAAATAGTCACAAGCTTTTGGCCCATTTATTAAAGGGGAGGGGATGGAGGTGTGGTGAGATTAAGAGGAGGTCAAGACAAAATGACACAAAATATGAACAATATAGGGAGGGGGTCATGAAAAGAATGCTACATTTATTCAAGGAGTGGAGGTGGGGGTCGTGAAAAAGTGACTCAACGGCGTCTTTTCTGTCATACTTCAACATCTCGGGACATTTGTCTGCAAGGTTGTTAGAAAAGGTTGCATGGAGCAAATTGTCGTTGTTTTAACATTTATATTTCTTGTTAGAGTGATTCAGGTGTCGAGGAGATTGGCTCTTCTGATTCGGGTGGCTATGGTGGCACTCTTGGTCTGTGGAGGTGATTGGACCTGTACCTGATGGGAAGGTCTGTATGGCACGGTACCTGATGGGTAGGTCTGTATGGCACGGTTTCATATGAGTTTGGAGTTTGTGGTCATACGTGTGGACTAGAACGTCTAGGAAGTGGGATATATGTTTGATTCAATCTGCCTTGTGAATTTTGTCCTCTGGTGCTGTTTAGTGACATCTTCAAGTCTTGGTCAAGTCTCGGTATGGTTTCAACATGACAAAGTCGATAAAAAACAGAGGTGAACGGAATGAGCCCCAATGCTGTTCACTTTTTATTAGGAGAATTCGAAACTAGAAATTAGTTTTGCATCTTGAAATAATCACTGCTTCAATGTCACGTATGTACAAGCGATCCACGTTTTATTCAACTGTTTGTCAGACAGCACATCCTTTCAGCCTGTTTGGTGTGGCTCTTGTGGTAATGTTAAAGATTAAATTTAATATATGTGCTCATTTGCGCTTCTGTACCTGTATAGTGAGTGTCTAGAATATGTTGGAAGAGCTTCAAGAAAGTAACCAAACATTCAGCGTGTGTCATCAACACTGATGAAAGTACAAGTTGACAGACAAGACCGTTGGCAGAAAACGTCTAAGAACAAACACATGGGCCAGACAACTGTCATATGTTAATAGTCTTTTACCAACGTAAACAGGATCTCTTCGGGACATGATGTGGTAATGTTGTTACGCCCAAAGTCGTTTGGCCATTTTTGTTAGAGACCAAAGTGGAATTCTCCCTCCCCTTCGAAAACATAAACTGATGAAAAATGGTCGGTCCCTGAACATTTTGGCTTCAACTGAAAGTTAATTTACGAAAGCTTATTGTAATCGTGACACCTGGTTATGACGCATCTTACACCATGTTTAAACCAAAATGAATCAGAACAAGAAAAGTTGCTTACAAATGAGTTCGGAAAGATGCTGGTGATCACCATTTATTGACTTTTCAAAATGTCTCTTCTGTTGCAGACGTTCCTGAAGCTGTTGCTCCTGACTGTGTTTGTGTCTGTGGCTTTATACGTCGCCTTTGTTCCCAGCCTGTACTTGTCATATCGAAAACCACTCTGGCACCACCAATACAGGGGCGTATACCCTCACCTTCGCAACGCCATGGACAGCGCCCATGTCGTCTTCATTCCACATTCGTACGCCCCATGGAGCCAGTACATTGTGTACAGGTGTGATGGTACATCTGCTTGTGGGGGATGGGCAGACAGACAAAAGGGCATCGTTGCTGCTTATCTCATATCAGTGATGACAGAACGCAAGTTTAAGGTCATACTTACAGTTCCGTGCGATATACGCACGTACCTGCTTCCGGTTAAAGAAGACTGGAGAGTCCATGGTAACGAGCTTCAAGGAATACCTTCGACCAATGTCGTCAAAATGGACTCCGTAGCTGCCAGTTTTTGTGATCGCCTCGGAAAGGAAAAGTTAGAGGATATTTTTAAATCTAATGTTACCTATTTTAACGTCAATATGGAATGTGTACAGTTTCTATTAAGGAATCCACTGTATCCTCGTCAGCTTGGGTGGGCCAAAGGAATGTCAGTTGGCGAGGTATACCAAGTGGTTTGGAACAGTTTATTTAAATTGAATCAGAAGACAGGCAATCATTTACGAACATTCAGGTCACAAATGTCAAGATCGAAGACTCTGGTCTGTTCACAGATCCGAGTTGGAAAAAGCCCCACAATTCCACAAGACAGAGTAATTAATACGTTGGAACATGTTGAAGCTGTTTGGAGCTTCCTAAAGAAATATAACGACAGCAATAGATATCATATTTTCTTGACAACTGATTCTGAACAAATCAGAGACATAGGGAGATCAAAATTCCCAGATGTGAACCTTGACCTGAAGGGTCACATAGTTCATGTTGATAGAACAACCGGAAATCACGTGTGCGATGGCCTTGAGAAGACCTTGCTTGACCAGATCATACTGTCCACTTGTGATGTCCTTATCATAAGCGAGAGTGGGTTCGGGAGGATTGCTGCGTTCATGAGAAGAACCCAAGACAACCTCTACTGTTTAAACGTCGCTAACATCACTAGATGTACTGAGAAGTCTCCTGAGTTCATCAGGGGACCTTGGTAAAGGTCAAGGCCACTGATGGCTGCTGACAAACAACCTTGCACAAACGCCTTATAAGAAGTTGACATAGGTTCCCATCACTCTGTTCCTCGATGTGTTGAGGCTTAGGTGTGTTTGTTTACGTGAAAAGTGTTGACAAACAATCTTTCACACAGTCTGTCTTTGTGATAACATTGGCGGTCCCTGTTTGTTTCACGTATTTAGACCAAAGTCACAGTTCTCATGAATGCTTGATCCAGTGACATTAATAGACAAATAGATACGGTAAGATGGTCATAAGATAATCATATCAGTATTTGACTCTCATACGAAATGTTGTTTAACTTCTGCTGTCGAAACACGCTGCGGTCGTAAGTGTAAAAGCACGACCTATATCGGCCATCCAGAAATTGATAATCTTGCTGACATCGATAAAACAGTCCTCATATTTTCTCAACGTTTCTTGGGCGATGAGTTAGCGTTGTAACACCGAAAGTCAGGGTTCGATTCCCCACATGGTTACATGGTCCAATTCTGGTCACCTCGTCAGTGATATTGCTATAAGTGGCTTAATACACATTCACACACTCACTCACTCACTCACATCCATAGTTGTCCTGCGTGGTGTAAAACATTTGTCAATGTTGTGGTCTCCCTGTTGAAAAGCAGTCGGTGTTGTCCTTCATGTTGGAAGATGTTTGTGTCCACCATCAATTCCTTCAAGCAAGAAGACACTGAAACGCCGGCAACCTGATATATCTTGTGTCGGCTGTCATCCTCTAACACACCGCGAATGTTTAAGTGACAGAAATCTGCAACTTGTGAACAATGGACACCTTATGCCCAGACTTCAGTGAGATATTTCTTCCTGAAAGTAGTCGAGTAGACACATCACAGACATAACCATCATCATGACATGTTGAATATTAAATAGAGTATTACAAATGAAGCGGTGTATGCCATTAAAACAGATTTAAGACCATTTTGTTACTTTCTTTTCTATCATTAATTTCGTGGCGTCCGTTTGCACCAATCGTGGTCGTCGTTTCACTAACATTATTCGTAGTTTTCTCTAATTTCGCGGTGACCGTTTTCACAAGGTCCCATTATATATCATAACGTGTTTGGTGAAATCATGCAAAGCTTTTGTTCCCTTTGGGACTTCCATTAATCCTAAGCACGTTAAATTGAATTAATTGCATTATATCTGATGTTGGTGTAATATACTTCAACCGCACACGCACAAACACAACACACACACACACACACACACACACACACACACACACACACACACACACACACACACACACACACACACACACACACACAGGTGGTTATATAAGTTTAATAATCTTGAAGGCGTAGGTTAGTTAATTATTCATAGAAGAACTGTGGTTGGAACGCAACATGGCTACATAGAACAACCATTCTCTTATGCCATGAGTAAATATATTTATATATCGTTTATACTTGTCAATTTTCCCTTTCCTCTAGACATATAATTATTATCCATGTGTTGTAACTTTTAATACTCTACCACCTAGTAATACCAAACTGTGCGTGTGTTGTGATTTAAGTTAGGCATCTGTACAAGACGTTAATCCATTGATACCTCTCTAGGCTGTCATACAGATCCTCAAAGAAATATATCCAAACCAGCCCACACATGTCTATAATAGTGGGCAAGTCTAGATTACTGCAGTTCTGAAAATGAAGAGTCTATTTTGTTAAGACAATATAACAACTGCTTTTTTATCGGAAAAATATGTCCCTTTTAGAGACAAGATGTTTGTCTAATACTTCTCTAGAGCTCCAGATAAGCTGTGTATTGGCGTAAGATACACAAACTTTATTTGTATATCAACATCACCCATTTAATTTAGAGTTGCTTTCGTACAGATACGCATGAAGAAATTAGGTAAGCCAGCAGTATAACTACAGTAATTACCCAATGTGGCTTTTTCAACTTACGTATACAGTTTTTTCCAGATCTTTTTTTTACTGACTGAATGCAGGCAGCATGTATACAAGAACTCTGCTGCAGTAAATATTGCACATCTCGCTTATTGTAACTTAGACATATCAATGTTATGACGTTATGCATCACACAAGAACACAGTCATATAAATACTTGAAACCTAAAACAGCAAAGAAGTATAATTATTTAAAAAAGGTCCACTCATCGGTTTACATAACTTGAAGAGAACAATAATACACTGAATACCCCATACAAACTATCAATACCCAGTGTGAATGATAACATATGAGTAAATGTTCAATGGCTCAAAATCTATATGGAGCCCTGATATCCCAGTCACCGACTCACAGTTGTCTAAAGGGCTGGGTGGTCGGGTAGCCTAGTGGTTATAGCGTTCGCTCGTCACGCCGAAGACCCGGGTTCGATTCCCGACATGGGTACAATGTGTGAAGCCCATTTCTGGTGTCCCCCGCCGTGATATTGCTAAAAACGGCGTAAAACCATACTCACTCACTCACTAGTTAATGTCGGGAAATATACGCAAATCCGGTCATTGTATGCATTTCCTGTTGTTTTTGTATTGTTTCAATGGTGTAAAATCCGGCTTTTAGTCCTGTGTTATATACCGCCGGTGTGGTTTGAGTGTCGTAAACTTCTGTTCTCTGTTCTGGAACTAATCTCATTAGAATCTGATCCATGAATCCGATAACATAGCTCTCCCATACTGTTTCCATACCTTTCTCGTCAGCCAATCAGCGTCGAGACTTCCAAATTCTTGTAACGCGTGAGCGAAGCATTCAGACCAGCGTATCGAATTTCTGTATCTCGAAAATGAACAGAAAACGACCAATCATGAATGTAATTATTTAAAACCGCGCCATAATATTGTTGGGGATACTTTATACACAATGCCCTTTCTGAGGGCTATGGTATCAACACCCAAACGGGAGTGCCATCGAAAACATATTTGTGTTCTGTCTGTTTTCATTTGTACATTTTTCCGACTCGAAATGCTGCAGAAATAAAACCGAATGGTTATAGAAAAATGACATTTAATAGGCTGAAAACCCACGCATCCTTGCTGCAGATTGAGAAGTCAAAGTACTATGGTTGTGTTGTCACATCTAAACGCAGAAAGATAACGTATCAAAATAAAGAAACTGATTTAATTCGCTTGAACGGAGACGGAGTGTTACAATCAAGTGATCTACCGGGCCAATTGCGGGTCCATCGATCTTAGTGCCGACCTGCAAATCACTTGATATCCTATAATTGGAAATGCATGTATTTCCCATTGACTTTCCAGTAGTCCTATTGACTTTACACAAAGCAATTACAAATACACACTGGTTTACTTGGCTCACGAATATACGTTACACCGCGCGATGGTGTTGATTAGGATTGCATATTCTTATATGCAATGGGTAGGTGTACCGTTCTCGATAGGAAGTGAAAACATCGAGTCCATGGCTTGCGGTACATTCAAGTGTTTACTATACACAGGTATATATAAGCACCATGTGCCAGGTCAGCACATTGTAGTGGTTGTTGTGTTTGTGACCCGGAGCCTAACCCGGAGGCTTGGACCAAGGCTTATGACACTGATTAAGTCATAAATATGAATATCAGTAACTGATGAAAAATTACATAGTTGCATAGCTCGTTCAGGGTAAATGTACAACGCAATGGTGGTAACCACTGACATTGGAGATTAGCCTCTTAAGAAATGGCAGTGATTTGAAACATACACAAGTGATAGCTACATGGTAATAGGCCTCGGAATTAGATTCATTCGGACAATAGTTTTCCTGAATCGGTTGTGATGTCATACGTTTCAGCATTGTCATAATTTAACGTGTTGATAATTTCAGAGAGAGAGAGAGGGGGGGAGGAGAGAGGACAATCTGTAGGTGAGGGTAAAAAAATGACATTTGATAATATACTCTTCAAACAAAAAGAAACGCAAAATGGATATTTTTGGCCATAAAAGCAATATTAGCGGACCAAGAGGTACAACATGATGAATTTTAAAGTGTTATAGTGTCAGTGACAAATTTCCCGGATCAAAATGATCACAACAAGGACATGCAAACCATAAGTCGGGAAACACGTCCGATTTGGAAAAACGCGCCCAGTGCATTAACAAAAGGGCCCTGGAGCTGCACGCAGTGCACGAGCAGCAGCAGTAGGAACGGTATTAACGTGCAGGGTTTTTGATTGCCTGGCATCTGCGTCAACCAAACAGTGACAGTTAAACAACATGCCAAGATTAACATAAGTGCAAAGAAACAACGTCATAGGCCGCTTGCAGGCAGAGGAATCCCGATCAGCTGTAGCCAGGGTTTTCAATGTGGCGCCCAGCACCATCACAAGGCTATGGACTCGGTTTCAACAGCATGGGTCAACACGTGATCGGCCAAGGTCGGGACGACCAAGAGTAACCACACCCGCCCAAGATCGCTTCTTCCGACTGCGCCACCTACGTGAAAGGACGATCACAGCTACCTAAACTGCATCCCAAATACCCGAAATGAATCTCCGCAGAATCTCCGACCAGACACTACGAAACCGTTTAAGAGCAGCAGGTCTACTAGCAAGACGTCCTATTCGACGCGTTATATTGAGTCGACAATATCGTCAACAACGACTGCAGTGGTGTCATCAACAGAGGGTATGGCCTCAACTGCGATGGAGAGATGTCTGGTTCAGCGGCGAATCAAGATTTCGCCTCCGATTAGGGGATGTAAGAGCACGGATCTACATACGTCGGGGAGAACGTTACGCCGGAAACTGCGTACAGGAAGTAGACAGGTTTAGTGGGGGTAGCGTTATGATGTGGGCGGATATCCCTCATCATGACAGGACTGGTTCGGTCCATATCCAGGGAAATCTTACGGCTCAACGATAAATCAACAAAATTATCTAACACACGTCCTCCCAATTGCAGCCAACGGCAACGGTGTATTCCAGCAGGACAACGCTCGACAGCATACATCACGGATCACAAGAGCCTGTCTACACAACAACAACGTCGATGTTCTCCCCTTGATTTGAACCCGACTGAGCACCTGTGGGATGAATGGGATAGACGGCTACGCCGACGTCAACCACAAGTTGGCTTTTGCGTTGCAGACCGAGTTGGCTACCATTCCCTAGGATGTGATTCGCATACTTGTTTCGTCCATGGGCAAGGGATTTCAGGCCGCTATCGATTCCAACGGGGGGACATACGCGTTATTGATGGTAGCTGACCTTCACCTTGGACTTTTCCTATGTACAGATAACTGAGATGACTACAATCAACAAGTGTTCTCTCCACAACATTTTGGCTCAATACCTTCGGGCCTTTCGGGGAGAGTCGTGACGAAAATGTGCAAGGACATGGACAGGATCATCCCAAGATCCTACAACCATATTCCCAAGATATTACAACCATGAGGGGAGGGTCATTATTTTCTGTACATTAGCGCATCAAAAACCTCCGACCCACCTACCCTTGTTATTTGTGTAACAGCAGCTGCTGTGAAAGATTTCACAGCTGCGTGGACATTCAGTGGCATTATCTGTGTTTACACAGGTGTGTGCATACCACCGAGTGTCACACCACACTTTATAGGCCTGGCTGCCACCTGTGGGGTGAGGTGAAATTGGGTTTAAGGTCGCATTTAAGATTACTGCACTTTCATAGCGACGTACATGCTCGTGTGTGTTTGTCTGCTTGTACTAGTCCGAATGCCGATTTTATAGTGCTAGCCCACTGAGATACCATGCCGCAGTGCAACATGAATACCCCACTCAGACACAGTATACTGACTCCGAGCCGACCAGTCCTTGTTTTAGCCCCTTAGTACCACCTTTTAACGTCTTTTGGCATGACCCGGCCGGGAAATGAACCCCGGAGCTTCCGCTCTCCGGGTGGACGCTCTACCACTAGACCACGGAGGCGGTTTGTCTGCCACCGGAATAGGTCACACAGTTGTGTGTTATGCGTGCTAATTCCATTCGGAGCCACTCGGTTTACTCCGGCTGCAATGGACTAGTGATATAGCATGATTTCACTGTAAACTGCATACCGAGCAATCCTTCTTCACATAGGTCGTGCGTTCGCTCGTCACGCCGAAGACCCGGGTTCGATTCCCGAATAATAACGTACACTGTGGTCATAACTGTGAAGATTGGTGCTAAATCCGAATCAAATTAATATTATTCATAAATATTCATGACGAGATTTAAAACGAGGCGGACTGTGCCAAATATACCGGAAGTGATTCAGTCGAAATGGCGCGCTCTTCGAAAGAAACAACCACTATGTTGAAGTATCGTGCTGCGACTATTTCAAGTCCATGTTAAAGTATCGTGCAATGACTATTTTAAGTCAATGTTAAAGTATCGTGCAATGACTATTTCAAGTCAATGTTAAAGTATCGTGCAATGACTATTTTAAGTCAATGTTAAAGTATCGTGCAATGACTATTTCAAGTCCATGTTAAAGTATCGTGCAATGACTATTTCAAGTCAATGTTAAAGTATCGTGCAATGACTATTTCAAGTCAATGTTAAAGTATCGTGCAATGACTATTACAAGTCCGTGTTAAAGTATCGTGCAATGACTATTTCAAGTCAATGTTAAAGTATCGTGCAATGACTATTTCAAGTCAATGTTAAAGTATCGTGCAATGACTATTACAAGTCCGTGTTAAAGTATCGTGCTATGACTATTTCAAGTCAATGTTAAAGTATCGTGCAATGACTATTTCAAGTCCATGTTAAAGTATCGTGCAATGACTATTTCAAGTCCATGTTAAAGTATCGTGCAATGACTATTTCAAGTCCATGTTAAAGTATCGTGCTGTGACTATTACAAGTCCATGTTAAAGTATCGTGCAATGACTATTTCAAGTCCATGTTAAAGTATCGTGCAATGACTATTTCAAGTCCATGTTAAAGTATCGTGCAATGACTATTTCAAGTCAATGTTAAAGTATCGTGCAATGACTATTTTAAGTCAATGTTAAAGTATCGTGCAATGACTATTTCAAGTCAATGTTAAAGTATCGTGCAATGACTATTTCAAGTCAATGTTAAAGTATCGTGCAATGACTATTTCAAGTCAATGTTAAAGTATCGTGCAATGACTATTTCAAGTCCATGTTAAAGTATCGTGCAATGACTATTTCAAGTCCATGTTAAAGTATCGTGCAATGACTATTTCAAGTCAATGTTAAAGTATCGTGCAATGACTATTTCAAGTCCGTGTTAAAGTATCGTGCAATGACTATTTCAAGTCCGTGTTAAAGTATCGTGCAATGACTATTTCAAGTCCATGTTAAAGTATCGTGCTATGACTATTTCAAGTCCATGTTAAAGTATCGTGCAATGACTATTTCAAGTCCATGTTAAAGTATCGTGCAATGACTATTTCAAGTCAATGTTAAAGTATCGTGCAATGACTATTTCAAGTCAATGTTAAAGTATCGTGCAATGACTATTTCAAGTCAATGTTAAAGTATCGTGCAATGACTATTTCAAGTCCATGTTAAAGTATCGTGCAATGACTATTTCAAGTCCATGTTAAAGTATCGTGCAATGACTATTTCAAGTCAATGTTAAAGTATCGTGCAATGACTATTTCAAGTCAATGTTAAAGTATCGTGCTATGACTATTTCAAGTCAATGTTAAAGTATCGTGCAATGACTATTTCAAGTCCATGTTAAAGTATCGTGCTGTGACTATTTCAAGTCCATGTTAATGTATCGTGTAATGACTATTTCAACTCCGTGTTAAAGTATCAACATACTACATCGTTTGGTTTTCCCCTTGAGCACCCCTCTGGATCCGACAATGGTTCGTAAACAAAGTCAGTTGATGGTCCGCAGTCAGCCCTACGGAAGCGACGTGCTGGAGTCAAAGCACGCGGGACACAACATATATAGAGTTCCTATTTTGGCCAAGCAGCTTTGAGAGAGAGTCACAAACGGCCACCAACAGAAGCCTGTTGCATGCGACACACTCTTGTCGTGAAATATTTACCGCATCTGGTTCAGAGTCAGCAGTCACGCAAGCTAGTTAATCTGTTTCCAGGGTGATGCCAGATGCGGTACACCACGTCCGTTTCACTGTAACAGAAACCGTACTGTAGAATCACAGTATCACTGAGCACACCATCCATTGATGTCGGGTTCTAAAGACAGTTCACGACGAACGTGACGCTTGATTGAACAGGACCCAAAGATGAACAAACCAGCGACCATCATAATGGCGCCATTGTGATAGTCCTGGGTACTCGGATCTTTCCCCATTAACAATTAAAGCCACAAACATCGTGGTAATCCTTCGTTTATCATGTACTACACTGCCCCGTTTGACAAACGGTAATGCGATATAGCCACATGTAAGACATGTCATGTTTCAGTAAGTTAGTTGCGTCTATCTGTTATGTCAGTTTGTCGGTTAGATTAACATATTCATTTGTTAGGTACCTCCCATTAGTCGCCTCTTACGATCGTACAAGCATAGTCGCCTTTTACGGCAAGCATGGGTTGCTGAAGACCTATTCTACCATATCAGTTGGGAGTCTGCTATTTTAGCTTGTTCGGCATATCTACTTCTGAGGCATGTACTCCATTTCAAAATGTCAGTTGGGTATCTGCTATTTTAGTTGGGTTTTTTTTGCATATCCATTCGTTAGGCATGTCTTCTATTTCGATACGTCAGCTGTTTCGGTAATTCTGTCAGTTTAATATATCCGTTACATTTATTCATTCCTCGCCTTGGTTAACGTCGGGTAATAGACAGCAAATGGAGGGTGTCCAGAAGTGTGAAAAAGGTAATAAGTGTAGAACAAGTGGGTGGCGACGACACCAGTGACATACACTGGAAGCATCGATCTTCGCCTTGGAGCAAGATTGGACCCGCTGCCAAGCCTTTGTCATGTCAATAATACGACCGACGCTCAGAAAACAATCTGACAATACCATGACTCTCTCGGGGACACGCACAACGGGCATTGATTTTGAAAATACAAATACTTGGGTATACAGCACAGATATCTAGAACAGCATATTCTCATGCGTCAAAACAATAACATTCATACTGGCCTGACCTTTTACTCTCGGGACAGATGCTTTATGCACAAGATCTTAACGGCAGAAATGGGGCTTTGGGGGTGATTGAAAATAGCGGATATGAATGGGTAAAGAACCTTTTCATCTGTGTACTGAAATTCGGCCGTGTATTTTGGTTCACTGCACTCAATAATATTCCAGCTATGTGCCGGCGGTCTGTAATTTATCGGGTCTGGACCAGACAATCCAGTGATCGACATCTTAGAATGGTTTACGATGATTTGCTTTCAACCAAGTCACCGAGCTTTACCACACGATCCTGTTATTCATGGAAATATTTCTGCTAAAATACCTGCATACTCGCTTTGCTTTGCATGTGCATCACAGAGAGAGAGACATTTGAGAGAGTGTTCTTTGTTCAACCCCACACTCACTCTATGGCGGTCGCCTGTTAATCAAATCTGGACCAGGCAAACTAATGATTGATATAATGAGCAAATATGGATGAACGACGACACACAATCGAGTCGTATATAATACAATAACAAACCAATCCGGATTCGAACATCAGCATCCTGGAACAGCTAAGAGGCACAACTCAGCGACAAATGGGGCCCCCGCACCCAAACCAACTTTAGACCCGTGAAGATCCGGGGTAGAATAGGTCATCTGCAACCCATGTTTGTTGTAAGAGGCAACTAGCTGGATCGGGAAGTGAGGCTCGCTGACTTGGTTGATGCATGTCATTGTATCACAATTGCATGGATCGATGCTCATGATGTCAATCACTGGATTGTCTGGTCCAGACTTGATTATTTACAGACCGCAGTAATATTGCGGTGTTATACAACAAACAAACAAACCAACTTAAATGCACCAGCATTACTCATGTTCATACCTGTCTAAGTATTCACCGTCAATGCAAAAACACACACCCACACACATCAACAGAACTGCTTTTATTCTAAAATCATCTTTTATTAATCCAGATCACTGATGGTGCTGATCACTTATCATAAATCATTTCAGTTGTGACCATGGTGCCTGAAGGTCTCAGAAAGACCGTGTAAACTAGCTTGCATAGATTTTCAAAAACTACTATACTTCAGACACAACTATATATAGAAGATATATAAATAGGCAAAATAGTGTATGTAAACAATGGTCAATATTTAAGTACACATGTAATGCCTTCAAAATGACAACATTTATTATTACAAAGCAGCACAAAGCTGTACTTAATTGTAGGTGTTAAGTGTTCGAGATGCGATGGTAACAAGTTTACATAGATGCTGTCAACGCATACTTCACAGGATTAATCCAATTTTGACATTAACAGTGATGTATGACAATGCTGCATACCCTTAAGCAATAGGCCTAAACTCCATTGAAACACATATGAACATGTCTCATGTCACTTCCATCACTTTGTATCTATTTACTGTCAGTCTGTCAACTGAAATCATTGCTTTTACAGTCAAAAAACAAAACGATGTCATGGTCCTTACTAGAATTCCATCCTACAGCCTAAACCTGCGTAGAAGCTACTGGATTGTTCAACCAGCATAAGGGTTAGAAACTAACAGTTTTTGTCCACTAGTCCTTATGATGATAACATATAGCAAATCCCTAAAAAAATTGGCCAATTTCTACTGGTCCTTAGGATACCTTTACCATTGGGCAGTTTGGTAAGGACTACAGGACTAGTGCCAATTTCTAACGCTGACCGCTGCATTCAGACTAGATGAAACTAAGCACGAACAGTCATGTTGCAGAGGAATTAACAATGTCCTGAAATGTGCTATTTGTATTAGTAATGCAGTGACACATATGCTGATGACTTGACCGCAGAGTTGCAAGGTCAGACAACCCAGTAAAATCCTTCAGTGACATGTACTGGATATCAGCATGATTTGATATTTGATTTTCCTGCTCATTAAATACTTTGATTACTCCTGATGGTAATACACCATTGTTTGATCAAATCTCTGTTGTATATATACTGAAACTGTTCATCACTAAACTACATTGAGATTACAAGGATTAGTTGATTGCAAAAGAGTCAACTGAAAAAATACTGAGATCTACGTGTTATTATGGATAATGCTTTGAGTCCACTAGCCTGACCTGTACCAATGGGGACATACAAGTCTTGTATAGGGGTTAGTTGTCATTGTGCTCAGGCAATTTTTTTTCCCGAGTGGACTTATGTCATTTATTCCTGATTATTCATGTGTATATACAAGCAGCATATATACTACAACATTCTAACTGAACTTAAGACTCGATTTACTTAAGGGAACAACCATTTTATATTCAAGGGGATGGGGGGGGGGAGAGAATTTGTATCTTGATTAGATATTTTTACTGCTACAGCTACAAACCAGATAATTTTATATTTCAAACTATGAGCCTAAATTATTTGAAAGCAAAACACCTTGCAACAATGAAATTTTTGTGCCAGGTAATACCTATTTTTACAAAAGTCTCAACCATAAAAAAACTCAAGAATTTTCATGGACACTCCCGAATATCAAATGGTCGGTCCTTAATGCTGGTATTTGTCAATGACAGTGTAGCATACATTGATGACAATCAAATAGAATACATTTACATAATCCAGACTAGTGAAAGGTTAACATCAGTACACCTAATGAATAAATATTTGATTTATCTGTACATTATATAAAAATAAATATAAAAATACAAAATATGAGGTATTCATCATCATTCCTACAGAAACAACATGATACAAGATACACTATTTTACCATTTTGAGATCTAAATGACAAATATGCTGATGCAATGAAAAATACCAAAGTATTTATTTACTTTAACATTACATAAACTGATTTGTTAATATCTATACACTACACTGTCATTCACATGTACTGACCACACAATAAAATACAAACTGGCATAAAATATATATACAACTTCATCTTCTTCCACAACCAAGGAACTAAAATATTTTAAACATCGGCTGGTAGTAATGGCGTACTCCTACCATGTTCTTCATCATGCTTGACCTAGAAAGGATAACATTTCACATACCCTGTGGTGGAGGGAACAAAGTTTCGTTTGTACTTTAATTTCATCTCCCTGGTCCATATTATCGGAAGTACATGAAACGGATGCATGCCGAATCATCATAATCTAAAGCATCATTGAGAAGGACGTTCACAACATTTGTCATGAGTAAAAAGTCAAACCTTTTTTTTAGCAACTGATCACAACTTTTGAGGTCAATGTGGCCACGGGTAATCTCACTCAATCCCTCAATACTTCATAGGTCAGAGGAATTCTATCAATATTCACTTGTTTAATTTTTAACTCTACTCACACCTAATCCCTATCATAACTCAAAATAAACTAAGTTCAAAGCAGAAACCTGTTTGTCAACCAGACATCAGCCAATTATATACATGTGGTCCGGATGTGATAAAAGTGGGAAAATGATACTTGAAAAGCAAATTTGGGACAGTTGGCTATTCTTGAAACATTTCATGTACAACTACTTGAATACCAGGTTGTTTTTTCAAAAATCATTTTCCGTTTATATCAGTTTTACACCAAACTGTATTTGGTGGCGAGTTTAACATCTCCTTCATCAGGAAAATAATACAAATTATTAACAGCACTAATCATTAACAAATGTCCACATTCTAATTGTCATTTGTTGATGGTACGTGATGGTTGAAACCAATTACCATGACAACATGGCTAAAAGATGTAAGGACGGCATAAGCATATTGTGATATACTTCACAGAAAAAAAATATGCACAAATGAAAAATAATTATATATCAGGTAGAGATTGTGCCCTTTCTGTAAGTCATAGCACTAATTCTGCAAGGGTCTACCGATGTCACTGTGAAATAATAATTTCTAGGAAATATGGTTAGAATAGTTTTGTTCCTATTTTCCATGGCATCAAATATATGTGAAACAACACAATAAACAAAACGACATGTTAAACACATGGTTAATTTCACATCCATGTACAAGTCCACACACTGAATAAATCCCTACCATGATACGTAAAAAATATGGCTGGCTGGCTGGTCATGTGTGTATATTTGAGCCCACCCTTATACCCACCAGTACAAGCTTGGTCCAGTTATCCTTATACTATAGACAAGGAGGCTTCAGCTTAATCCAAGACTTGTTGATACTGGTTATAATGCAAATTGCTGGGACATAAAGATGCTGACTAAGCATGTCTCTGACCACTACATTTACTGTTGTCCTTGTGGAATAAGCTGTGACCTCATAGGCCGTCCACAGCAACCTTGAACTCTTCATTCGCGCCGACCTTCACCCCAGATTCTGCGTATTCGATTGTAAGCTCAGACTCCACAATTTCATCCGGAGGTGGACACTTGAGACAGTGGGGTTCGGGCAGGCCGTAGTTGAGACAAACGTCGCCGACACACTGGCAGCAGCCATACTCGTGGAACCAGCGGTACTTGGCGGCGCCCATAGACTTGCAGGAAGCCCTGCACTTGTGTATGGACATGCACTGCGAGAAGAACGCTACGGTGCAGTTCTTGTTCTCATCCTCATCACTCTTAGCTGCAGTTCTCTTTTCGTCCTCTCCTGCAAATGAAAAAAACGATGTGCCTGAGTGGACAAGGGACACAAGAGTGAGTGAGTGAGTTGGATTTAACGCCGCTTTTAACATTATCATTAACATTATCCAGTTGAGCGTGCGTTATCCCTAACAGAATATGTTATCCTCATTGCTATGTCTAATGGTAACACAAACATTCAGTAATCGTTTTTAAATATCAATATAATTCGAAAGTATTTTACACATATCTCACTAACAGTAACTTTGCTGAATTATTACCTCATTGATCAATCGTCAAAAACTATTATGTAATTTCCCTGCATTTTTAAAAGTCATCACATATGGTGTTCTCTATGAGCGAAATAGGATATGGAGATTTTATTTATGGAATCTTTCGTGATAGTGATTCATAAACACATGCTGATGTGTATCTTTATACATACATGTATTAATCTTATAGTAAAAAGATAATACATATTAAGTGAGCGAGTGAGTGAGTTGGGTTTAACGCCGCCTTTAACATTATTCCAGTGATATCACGGCGTGTCAGCTTAATGTTGGAGGAAAGCCCGAAGTAATGCAGGTCTCAGACATTTACCACTTCGGTGAAACCCACGAGCACAGGTATGGTGCTGACAAACCTAGAAACATAATCAGGGCGAACCAGGATTCGAACCCACAATCATAGGTTTCTGGCGTGCCCAAGGGACGCCACTCTGCACAACGAATTGCGGCGCCTTAGACAACTGGGCCACCCGTGCCCCCAGGGACACAAGACATAGACTTCCCACACTATGTGAAGCTGGGTGTTTAATGTTCAGAGCCAATTCTATCCCAATAGCTATAACAGAGGCTATGTCATAATGGTTACTAACATCAGAATATCAAAAGATTAACTTCAGCAAAAGAATAAGATAAACTGTGAACATTAATTCAGTTAACACCATATAAACATGTCCAAGCTTTGTGAAACTCATTCGACATGCTTGAACAGGGCATCACTGCTTGACTAAGGGACACAACTCTGCACAGCAGAAGCTACGCCTTTGCAATATCACACTCTGAATGGGCTTCAAAAATGGCCCTCATGTTACAGTCAGGCCTTCGTCTTCAACTTGACAAGCCAGTCACTTGCCTAGGCTATGCCAATGCTCTTCAATAATTAAACAAAGCATATTACTAGAATTATCTAAACTCAGAAGCTATTTGCTATTTCTTTCAGAGGGGGTTGACATGTAAATGTTTTTGATCATGAAAGGGTGTTGGTCGAATCCACAGAAAGCAATATTACAGTCATATCACAGCATCTTGTACATGATACATGTAATAGAGTCTGGGCCAGACAAGTCAGGTTTGCATTTCCAAAGAGGTAACAAAACCATATTTTTAGTTGTTAATTATGGCAGTCATTAACATTCCAGCTACCTCGGCTTATCTACGGAGTCGGCTTATCTGCGGTCATATACAGTATATCACATGAGCCAGTAAATATTTTATTCTGGGCCAGACAAACCAGTGGCTGAAATTATTAGCAACATCCACCACAGTCGGGATACAATGACCATGATCAACAACAGAGTGCTGAGGACATCTTACAACCAACATCGTCGGGGCAGTCGGGTAGCCTAGTGGTTAAAGCGTTCACTCGGCACGCCGAAGACCTGGGTTCGATTCCCGACATGGGTACAATGTGTGAAGCCCATTTAAGGTGTCCCCCGCCGTGATATCGCTGGAATATTGCTAAAAGCAGCGTTAAACCATACTCACTCACTCACTCCAACATCGTCACGATTCTGACTGAAATAAGGAACACACTTCTAACGAAGGTAACTGTTACAACTTCTCCCTTCATTACCAATAGTGAAGGTGTACTTCAGGTCCTTGGAGACATTGGTTAAGAGAGTCTCCTCTGGCTGGTGCCGGGGGTATGTGTAAGTCACCCAGCGCTGCTGGAAGTCGGGAATCTCTGTCAGCACATTAAACAGGTCAGGAATGGGGTCCCCCAGACGTTCAATGGTGCTGGTCTTGTAGAGGTCCATGTTCGGGTCGGGTGGGGGGCAGAGACCTGTCCAACAAAAACATTCCTAATGAATCATGCCACACATTATGTAGATTGGTAAGTGTTGCTGTGTTCGTTATTGTTTGTTGAAGTTACACCAGTCAGCTTTAGTCCAGCCATATCATTTTTGCCTGTAAAAAGCTGATTTTTGACTCAACAAAACAGTGGTTGGTATTAAAAGCAACACCCCTTGACTTTGGGGTATAATGACAGGCAATCAACCAAGTTGCCGAAGCAGGCCACTGATTTAGTGGCCCCTTTTGAGAGTAGAGAAAACCCTTTGCACAAGAAAGAACTTTTTATGGGGGTAAAGAGGGTCTGTTCACAATTCATGATACTTAATTTGCTAGAATTTTCCATGAATTTTTATATTCCATCACGTTCAAAGGCTATGCACTTTATTAACATGATTAAAAAGGTTTGAAACTTCCTGAATATCTGGTCTCATATTTGAAAACATAAAAGTCTCATTTCCATCAAATAAAACGTGAGTGTCAATCCCAGTTAAAATGTAGGTAGGACCCACTTTGCCATGTTTTTCTAACAATGTAATTCCATTTCTGTTTTAAATGTTCCATGTGTGAACAAGAAAACAATTTGTCCGATACAGGAATAAAATGTGAATCGATACATGTAAGTGTGTATTGCGTTTTGCGTTTGCGTTTTGCATGATCAATACACTGGTGAATCGAGACATCCCTAAATATTAATAAAGAGATTATTTTCTTCTGCAAATTTGTGAAATACAATTTTAAAGACATCCCAACATTATCATTTGTCTATTAATATATATATACACCCAAACACATCCGAACATCACCATGGCCACCACCTAAACAAAAGTGTGACACACTGTAACCCCATTTGTGTGCAGTTAATCTCAAGCGACCTGAACACCTGACATACCCTGCCTCTTTATTCTCTTTCTTAGGCTATTGTAACTGTGTTGGAGAGATGGTTGGGTGGGAATATAGTGTGTGAGATAGGATGAGCATATAAACATACAAGGGGCGGTCGGGTAGCCTAGTGGTTAAAGCGTTCGCTCGTCACGCCGAAGACCTGGGTTCGATTCCCGACATGGGTACAATGTGTGAAGCCCATTTCTGGTGTCCCCCGCCGTGATATTGCTGGAATATTGCTAAAAGGGGCGTAAAACCATACTCAGTCAGTCAGTCAGTATAAACATACAATTTATTGTAACAAAATGTGATTTTTAAACTTTTCGTGTACCACATGAGGAAGATACCCTAGCCTGTAGAGAATACAACTGTGATAAGTCCACAAGGAAGCTGGTGCTGAACTATTCTTCAAGCTCATGATTGTTACAATGTTTAGTGTCATAAAGACAAGAACTCTTGAATGGGTGATTTTGTGTTACTAGGACATAAATATCATGATATCAGGTATTACATGTGTCATGTGACTTCATGCAGGACGTCGTTTCAAGAAGGACCACATAGTTTTGAAGAGGGGACCCTATTCAGCCATGACTTGTAACCACTCCGGAGGGGTGCTTCAGTCAACCGGTTCTACAAGACAGACCTTGCACATACAAAGCTAAGAAATTAGCCCTGAGTGAATGAAACATGCTATGACAAGAAGCGGAACGATCAACAAAATCCACAAGAAGGTCTTCAAACAACTACTGAGCCATCACATGCTCAAGGAAGGGGTAAGTAGGTAGAGGTTCGGGGACACCATCAAAATGGACACGCCTTGCGGCAACTTCAATGTTAAATACCAAAGTCCCTACAGACGAGTATCTGTGCCCTCCAAACAACACTCAATCTGGGAAACCTGAGTCCTGTGTGGTTTGGAGGCCAGTGGAGATGTATGCCTTGAGGATATATGAGTGTAGTAAAATGAACACCGTAGTTCTCAAAACTGTTTTCGCCACAGTGGATAACAGGATGAACAGTCTCTTACAACCATGTTGCAGAGTTGCTGAGGCTTTAGGTAAAAGCGTACGATCTAACAGGGCACAAGGCAAGGTCTTTATGGTCCTCTGGATTCAAGATCAAGGTGAGTGAAGGGATGGGATAGGTGATCTGGTTGTCCCGGAAAGCTGGTTGTTGGCAAAGAAATCCAAACGGAGGTTGATAAAGACTTTCCCATGACTCTCAGTTCTCTCAAAACTGACCTGTTGACATTGAGAGTGTGAATCTTACTAATGTGTGCTGCCGTTGCTAGCAGAAATGCCGTCTTGAGCGTGACATGTCTCTTGTTCGAACCTACACTGATCCGTGGCTGGCGGGGAAGTAGAAACCTGGCCAATATAAGTCGCACATGTACTGGTCGGGTCGCAGAATTAAGTTTAAAAATTTGATTTTGTTTGAAACTGCTACATTGTACTGACTGTTATGATGGTTATTACAGCTAAAAGTACAGCTAGAATTTCCCTAGATTAAGACAATTTAGTCACAAACTTCAACATGCTCTTGGACCCCAGAAATCTAAAAAATTTAAACACTGCATAACAAACTATCAAAATTGGTACACACTCAAAATTAGTGTCCTGTGGCCATGACTAGTTTTGATGTATTGCCAAACCTAGAGACTGACAATTGCAATGCATGAGGGAGTCGTCAAAGTATTTTTTACTTTAACAAGCCATGTCATATCAGCATCTGTATGATAGACAGATTGTAATCCATCCCAGGCCTAACATGTTTAACGATGATAAGGTGGTTGTCACAATAAGATAGTGATTGTGACTGATAGTGATGTGGCCCTCAGTTGGGCACTAAATCTTGTCAATTATGATTAGCACAATATTTCAGCCATAAATGGGTCTTATTCTAAAAGTTTGAAAGTTGTACGAATATTTTTTTCTGTCTCAAATATCATATCTGAAATGGGTTTATTTCAAGTAATAAAAGTGTCAAAGGGGTTTCATGTCTGTTGCTGATAAGCTAGAATCATCAGTTGGCTTCTTGCAAAGGTATACTAAAGCATATGTACAGTAAGCTACATTTATAACGAACATGCTCATAGCAATTTGTTTGTTTGTTTATTTGTTATTTAACGCCACACTCAGCAATATTCCAGCTATATGAGAGCTGTTAATAATCGAGTCTGAACCAGATAAGCCAGTGATTGACATCATGTGCATCGATCTATGCAATTGGGATACTATGATATGTATCAACCAAGTCGGCGAGCCTGACCACGTTTGTCGCCTCTTAGCCCTAACATAGTTGCCTTTTACCATGTTTACAACAAATATGGGTTGCTGAAGACATATTCCCAGATCTTCACAGGTCTGCTTGTAATGAATTGAAGGATATAACAAGGCAGTTTTTTGGGTCCCATCCATATGCTATTATATATGCTGTATATTTCCTCATAACGAACTACATTTATAATTAACTATAATTAATGGCCCCTTGGATTTTGTCACACCGTTGTTTACTGAATACTGTATTTCATAGACAATTGATTAGGCCTCAAAGTTTAATTTTTTACCAAATAGCCATATGGCTACAAATACTATTTTCCAGGCAGCCATTGGCAAAATCAAAAAGTCAAGCTAATATTGTAGGTAGCCAAAAACATTTAAAAAGCTTAAACTTCCTATTAAAATATATACAAGTCTCAGCATTTGTCTTGGAATCATATATAAGCCTTGCAATCAGTTTTAAACATTCTTTGTATAATTTTCTTTTTATAGCAACCAATTTTGAATTACTTTCGATTGTCATCATCATGACAGTATCTCCATGTCTATATTTGCGTCCATAACCTTATTATTTCCAAAGTTACTGTCATCATTGTTTTCACCCACAACTTTCAGTGGTATGATTGTATTTTGCTGTGCAAAGAAGGAAAAGTTCTTGACAATGATGGTGTAAAGTAAAATGGAACAGACTACCTGTGTTGAAGTTCGTAAACTTGATGCACTGCACACAGTAAAAATATTTTTCAGAGCTGCATGGAGCTATCGAAACTTTCACTGATACATACAACCAGTGCGGTTATACAAGTTCCATTGCAATCGGAAAAAGTGGAGATTGAAAATTTGCGCAACAAATGTGAATCAAGTAAATTATTTCTGTGTCCACAAATGTGAAGTAATAAAATTTAGTCGCTACAAGACATTTTTTCAAGGTAGTCAGTTGGCGACCTCTGAATTTAGGTTGCATTGGCAAACAATTAGCTTTAACTTTGAGGCCTGCTGCCTCTGGCAGAATGTAATAGAATAAACTAACTTGAACTTGAGAAATGCATCATAACTGCTATTGAGTATGTTGAGATACATATATTTTGTTGTTGCATAATCAATTACTTATTAAAAGATGAAATGTCACATCATATGAAAACTAAAAAGAACCAGGGTGGTCCATATTCACCATAATGTTACAAGACTCTCCTGAACGTTTGCATGAAACATATACAGGAGCAGTTTCCATTGGGCATATTCAACTAGTCCCCAGTTTATTTCAGACTAGAGGGGTTATGCAAAATAACTAGATTTGGGGAGAAAACAACACTTTCACTAGTCTCGGACAAATAGACTAGTCTATCCCTGCATATATGGTATGAACTTAAACTGTGGATATCCATGACCTGATTAAAGCTGTTTTTCAAAATGCTTTGTGGGTACTATACGACAATCTAAATTTGTCTCTGGCACGGTCAGGAAAACATACCATAAGCTTGACTTACCCACACATGAGCAGCACTCTGTATACAGGTCAGCCAAACAAACCTGGCAGTCCCGGCAACAAGTGCAGTTCTTTTTATCCGACATGTTGCACTCGCAACATTTGATCAGCATGCACTTACTGACCCGGCTGGCACAAATCGCTTCATTGCAAGCTTCGGCTAGGCAGAGTACAGCCAGCACTCCACAAAATGCCAACGCTACACTTGTCCACTTCATTGCTGGAACAAGCATAAAGACATGTCAGTAAACTTTGAAAATGTTCAGGAATAAGGCGCGACAGTTGTCAAGTATGCACACCATGTGCAAGCATTGTTTTGACGGGAAACCTGCTCAGTCTACGAACTTTCTATGAGGAGTTATCGAATGTCTGAGGTCAGTTCAGATCTACTGTACTCGCTGTTTTGAAATTTAAACTGCACTGGAAGTGAATAAAGTATACTACCTCTATTGATCGGATGTGACGGTTTCTAAATCCCGATTGTAAATTGATCTGTCACTTTACATTCTTTCTCTTCAGTCATGGAGTAAACTTTTTTGCCCCCTCTATCGGCGGGTGGTTTAAAGGGGGATAATCTTTGCTGTGTTCATTCGCTCCGGTACAGGGCGTTTTTTCTTAACAGGGAAGTTTGATTCCAGCAATCGCTGTTAGGATCTAAAACAGCGTATGTCATGACTACTTCCAATGGGAAAATACACTTATGGACATATGGATAACATTTCTTGGTTCGTGATATTTTGCTCAGCGTCTATAAAAAATCTCAATATGATGAAAAGTATTTAGTGCAGGAGAAAATTACTCGTTGCGAAAATGGCCCAACTATTTTGGAGGAAAACGGCCCCGACATTTAGTGAAAAAAAATAAAAAAATAAAAAAAATAACGTAATAACACAAATCTGCAGTACTTTAGTTTATCTATTGCAAAGAAGATGCTTTCACTGATCTTTGAGTCACATGTTCTCCATCTCAAAGATTTTCTTATCTTATTGGACACGTGAAGATCCGGGGTAGAATAAGTCTTCAGCAACCCATGCTTGCCATAAAAGGCGACTATGCTTGTCGTAAGAGGCGACTAACGGGATCGGTTGGTGAGGCTCGCCGACTTGGTTGATGCATGTCATTGTATCCCAATTGCGTGGATCGATGCTCATAATGTCAATCACTGGATTGTCTGGTCCGGACTCGATTATTTACAGACCGCCGTCATATAGCTGGAATATTGCTGAGTGCGGCGACAAAAAACAACAACGACAATCTTATCTTCTTGGACCATGGATTTCCACCACACTTGAGGGGTCTCAATGCTGTAATCACCCCACCCATGTACTGCTCCCACAACAAAGATGACAATGAAATCTGTGGATGAAATGACGTGGAATGTGATAATCTATGAGGCACTGAAAGAAGACAAAGATGACAATGATATATGGGCGGAATGTCGTGGAATGTGACAATCTATGAGGAGAAAGAGGTGCCATTTTCGCCAGGGAAACACCGTGACGTTTTTCTGAGGTGTCGTTTTAGCCTGCATCTGACATTCATCGAGAATAGCCCACGGAATGCGTGTTGAACAATCCTTATGTTCTTCACAGGTCTGTGCAAGTTTACCATTCAAATTCCGGCAACCACCCCAAACAAGCATGATATAATCATATTCCCTGCCAACATGACATGTCTGGTTGTGTGCAAGGCAAGAAATATTGTACGGTTTTCAAGATCTGCTCCGGAAACGAGCACTATTCCGCCATTTTCAGTCTAAGTCAAAGTGGTTGCCGTGGAAACTCGAAAAATATTTTTTTCCAAAAATCCCAAACTATCAAAATGCACCAGTTCACCACTAGACCTATCCATGTGCCAAGTTTGGTTTAGATATCTCTCATGGTTTTAGAGTTCTGCTCCGGAAACGAAACGAAACGTGACGGACGGAAAGTCGGAAGGACGGACAGCACCCATTCCTTAATGCCCCTTCGACTTCGTGGCGGTGGAGAATAATAACACAGAAGATAACACAGTATCTGCAACTTTGCATAGATCCACCACGGTTTCGGCCAAGGTGGCACCTCCTTCTTGAGACAGTAGACTTACGCATAGTCTCTGAACATATTTAATTGTGATAGCAACAAACAACTCAAACACTGAGCCCCAGTGAGATTGAAAGTTTATCTAGACTTGCTTCATTTAGGGCTATATAGCGTTACAGTAAGGGCTGGACGGAAGGGGATAGTCATACAGACCCTGAAACAAATATATCCAATACAGCCCATACAATCAATAATTGTGAGCAAGTCTAGATTACTGCAGTTTATGAAAATGAAGAGTCTCTGGGCTCCTTTTTTTATTGTACATGTATTTTATTAAGATAATTTAACAACTATTTTCTTCGGTAAAATATGTTTATTTCAGAGACTAGATGTTAGTCTAGGAAGGTTTTTAATATGGTACAGGGTCTCATGGTGAGACCAACGAAACCGCTCCAGGCATTGATGCTGCCCTTTTGACACGGTTCCCATTTTACGTGCGCTTCGAGCTATTCGAGTTTACTCACCCATCACGAAAAGGGACTAACGGCCAGACAGGACACGCCGAATGGTCAAAACTGCCAAGGCGAAGTAAAAAATAATAATCTATTGAAAACTAGAAAGGATCAGTTAGTTAGTGATTTGGGTTTCGGGCTGATTTTAACAGCATTCCAGTTATATATCATGGCGTGTCAGCTTCCAGCTTTGAGGAAAGTCCGAATTAAGAGATCAGAAACGTCTGAGAATTAAGTCTCTGACGTTTACCGTTTTGGTGAAACCCACGAGCACTGGTATATGGTACTGAATAAACTAGAAACATTAGCGGGGCAAACCGGATTCATAGGGATCTAGCATGACCCAAGGGACGCAACTCTGCACAGCGAAGTAAGTATATATATATTGGCGGTTTCCGCGGTCACTCTGAAACGCACGGAAATCGCGGTGTGTAAATCGGGCTTGTGGCGGAAACCAGCGAAACTGTGACAACTTTATGTTTCGGCATTAGATCCGGGTGTTATTTACCATCAACACATCCTTTCTATTGTGTCAATTACAACTAACACATGTACCTAGTTTATGGATATGATTTAATGGTTTATCATAACAACTACATCTATGGGGTTTTAATTTACATTTATTCATTGTGGTCGTTTTTTATGTGATAAACGACACTTGTAAAAATATTAAATTCAATCAAACGCCCTTGTATTTTATCACTAAGTTCTCAAAAGGAACCATTTCAGAATTTCAGTGAGCTACATTTAGTAAACCCAGAGACTATAATTTTAGGGTCTCTAGTAAAAAAATATATGCATATGATAAAATTCAGATATTAGATTATTAAGGCCTACGGCAAAATTCAAAACATAAATGAAATCAACGGAAGTTCTTCTGAAGCATATGTTATTGTATATAGTTGTTAGGAATGTACTATAACTGTGAACATTGTAAACATTATCAATGTTATACGTCAGTGTTTATTCCGATCACGATTAGGTGCTTCAGTGCGGTGCCATAATGGCCCAGTGTTCTTCAAACACTGATCCATCATTCAAATGCCTTGTTTGTCTGGAGATATTACAGTCGCCTGTCAAGATAGCCTGTCCTTTTCAGCATGTGTGAGTCGGCTGTGTAATTTCGGGCGACGTTGAAGGGGAAGTGTTCGTTTTTCGATCACTTATTCAATACCTTCCCTGATTATGCCATGTATTCGATTTGATGCGGGAATTGTAACCGTTTTCAATCATTTTGAATGGTCTTCAATGAATGTATTAATGACTTGTACTTATTGTTAGTTCACCCGAGGAACATTGATAGATTGGATGGGTTGGTAGCCCTGAAACGGCACCCCAGCAAAACGTCACCGATTTCTCTGGCGAAAACGGCACCGCATTTGGCGAAAACGGCTACTATGTGTCGGGCGAAAACGGCACCTCTATTTTTAATAAGGATAAGAACGATTTTTGTAGTAATATATATGGTTTATTTACATGGTCACAGTTATCACAGCATGTTGTTGTTTTCTGACATTCTTCTCTCATGCAACACATCGAAAGGCCATTGTGAATAATTGTGATCTGACAGCACCATGTTAGGCCTCTTAAATACAGTTTCAGTTTAAATTGAGTAAAGGTACTTAAAACTTGAAAGCGTAAAGTGTTTTCACATTAAGTTAACTGCGCCTCCCAATCAGTCGGCGAGTAAATTGGAGTAGGGGTCTAATTAGCACTAATAGCACTTATTTGACCAAGGTAAAAAAAAAAAAATAAGGTGCCGTTTTCGCCAGGCCATAGTAGCCGTTTTCGCTTGAGTCGAGGTGCCGTTTTCGCCAATCGGTGCCGTTTTCGCCCGGTGACGTTTTGCTGAGGTGCCGTTTTCGCTATAACCCTGTTTACGTCAGTGCTCAGGAAGCATTGACTGAAGCAACTGACCTACAAGTCATGCATGTAGACTTTATATAATTACTATCATTATTGAACATAATTGATAAATGTGTATAAATTGTTTTTTCAGTGTTGAATCTCTTGAATTTGTCTCAATTTTCATTTTGACATTGACAGCTAATTTTAGAAACAGAAACTGGGACTGAAGATATGTACCCCAGGTACGTTATTGTATACAGAAATGTACCCTAGCCAAGTCAGAATACAGAGAGATACCCAGTACCCTAAACGGCAGACAAGTCCTTATTCCTCAACCCTAAAACTGAAGCTGGTTCACGTTGTAGTTCTGGTTCACCTGATGCTGAGTGCATGTTGGATAATGCTGTGCGTCATGGAATATTAGAGTAATGTATCACTGTCACTGTGTTTGCTAGTGTTTTTATAAAGCAGACTTGAATGCATCTCATACAACAGTATGACAGTTCCGATCCATTTATGGTAAGGAAATACGAGAGAAAAATATATAATGTGTACTGCCATGTTAAATTTCACCGCAACTTGGCATCCAGGATGTTGTATACGTAAGCGTTCAAGGAACTGGTTCAGCATATTGCCTAATACAGCCTGTGACTGTACCTTTCTGTATTCTGAATACCTTTCTGCATTCTGATTTTGGCTAGGGTACATTTCTGTATACAGAAACGTACCTGGGGTATATATCTGTAGTACCTAAGCTAAGTTACGAAACTAGGTAGTCAATTTTGAAATGTACACAAATTGGGACAGTCTTGAGTGGTAACTCCAAAATTTACTTTGGGTGCCCCGAACAATAAATCCTCATGTTATGGGTTTCAGAGCCCCCTCAGAAGTATTTCTTTTTTACATGTCTTATAATAATCCTAATATACTAAAACTAGGTCTTACCTTTAACTACATTTATTTCTGTTAGGACTAGGATGGTCAAATAACTTGTCTTGTTAATTCTATAGTGATAATGCCTCATCTAGCAAGACAAGTCGATCAGGCGTATCTTGTTACCATCACATGATTTCGAGCCCCTCCATTACAGTCAAGTTAAAAATAGATGTCACATGACATTACACTTAGGAAGTTTACAAACAGCAGCCGATACATTATTAGTGGATGCAATTGTTTTGAAGCTAAATTATCATCAGATCAAATTTGTTTAAAATGTGCATGAGTGCAAAGGTTTTGAGATATATTTTCATTGCTTACTGAATATCTCAGCAGCAAGTGGCAAACACTTTGAAGTTTGCAGTGGGCTTTGAACCGTCTACCTTGATTACATCATTAAGTCCTCAAAAATAGGTGAGGCTTGAAAACATGTGGCGTGGGGATATATAGAGCTGTACTCAGATTTTTTGTTGCCGTAATGTTTTGTACCCAGGGTACAGGGTTGGTAGTTGCACAAGTGGTCCTTTAAACATAAAATATATTGCACAGCAAGTATCCACAGGCGATTGAGGAATATAATGTTCAGTCACCCTTGATATATATTGATAATATCAAAGTCCCAATTATCCGATATGGTTGGTTGCATATGCTTATGTCTGATTAACAAGTATGTCAGATAAACGAAATTAAGTTGAATTGTGATTGAAAATCGGACAACTACATTGTCAGTAAGGATAAGATTTATTGATGAACAACTTCTTTATTACAATTAAGAGCAATGAATATAAACAACAGGATAATAACTTCAAGAAGCCATCCACATCAAAAGACTCCCAACTGTCGATCAACCATGACCAAGGCTATAACATACCCCGGCGTACCATCAACTCATCAAAGACCCTAATCAGCCATAATCCTTTTGTTTATATTACTGGTTTCACCCTTTTGTTTATGTTACTGACTTTGCCGATAATTAGGAGATAAACATACTGTGTTTTCCTTGTAGAGCTAGGTTACCTGTAGATTTAACCCCGCTAAATTGAATTTGGAACCGAACGCACAGGTTTCAAATGTTAAATTTAGCGTGGTTAAACAGGTAACCTAGCTCTACATTGAAAACACAGTATGTTTATCTCCATTCTACCATGACTAAATAAAACGTGAACTCTTTGGTGTTAGCATATATACTGAGTGAAGCGGCATGGGTTGAGTCCAGTGTTTTGAGTGGGTTGTCGATCTGAATTACGGAATCCCTGAACAAAATATGGAGTTGTATATATACTCAAGCAGTTTGTTTACACCGTAATACTTCACTCGAACATATGACAGGTATTTAAAGCATATAAGCACGGCAACTTGGTAAGCTAACATGATGTGGGAATCCCTAAAGAAAACAAAGCAAGCTTTGCAAGGATTTCGCTCTACATCGCATGTCACCATTATGACGTCATATCGCTCATTGTGACGCAAAATATATGATGTCACAGTCGTACATAGAAAAGCGCCAAAATTCCAAGCTCCCTGTTGTCTCCAAAACGTAAATACATTCCCTTTGTAGATTGCTATTGTGTTGACCTTGGAGTATGCTCATCGCTGTGTCGGATTAACGAGACTCATTAATAAGTGATTTCAGCAATTCGTTCAAATTAGGTGTGTTGGAGTCGTAGTGCAAGACTGTCAGATAAACTGGTCTATACAGCACTGATTTAATCGGCCAACATCATTTGTCGGATAAAGCCGATTGTCGGATTAACAAGTGTCAGTGTAAGGAGACTTGACTGTACGTCTTAGGCGATGTATAGAACTAGCATATGTTGTATCATGCATCACAGATATAGGATTTGCACTGTGGTGGTTTCAGATACTGTGAGCGCTGTGTCACAGGGCTACAGAGTGTGCAAGCGCCTACATGTCCAGAGTGTCGGACACCTATTGACCCCACCCACATGGACAAGGCAGTGGACATTGAGAAAATCATGAGGACAAACAGAGGCAGTTGCCAGTGGTGTGGACAGCAGGTATAATGCACCTTTCAAATTACCGTATTCGACGTAATAAGCGCCCCGCTCTAATAAGCGCCCGCGGTGATATTTGCCACTATATTGGCTAGTGAACAATCCCAATTAGCACCTCTTCCGATTGATCAATGTACGCAAGAATTATTTTTTCGTGTATAATACGCACTTGTGTGTTATATGCACCCTTAATTATGGGCAATTAAATTTTAGAAAAATATATCTGTCGTGTATAATACGCACAGACTTTTCTTTTGTATCATTTCAGGTACATAAACCTAGAAATTTGCGATCTTTCAACTCTGTTTTTTTTCTCACAAAATTATATTCTAATAAGAGCCCCCTATTTTTAATTTTGAGAGCGCCCCGGGCGCTTATTACGTCGAATACGGTAACTGACATTAATTGTGAAATATTGTAGTCGTTACAAACTGAAAATGTTAAAAGCAATGCCTATTCAGTGCAAGCGCATATGACCCTCATCAATCAGAAATTGATTAGTTTAGACCTCTTCATAGGCCAACATTTGGCTCCCAAGGCTGCAGCAATTGTCATTAAATATTCCGAATCAGAATGAAAATTTCGCAATTCATTTTAATATACTGTAATTCTTGAAATTAATGCGTCTCCAAATTAATACGCCTGCTGACCCCTAGCTGCCAAAAATGCAACTCAATATCACCATGACCCCGTCCCCGGTGGAATGATACATATCCTTACCTTAATCCAATCAAACACAAATATAACCGCTTATTAATGCTGAAGAGAGCACTTCAAACAGTGTTTGCCTATAAACAACACCGTTTATATGTTTACTCAGTTGACTGGCATTGAGGAAGTTCAAAGGCATTAAAATAATTGAACCAACAACAGTTCACTGATTGGTATGCGGAGAAGGTGTCAACAAGCTTCACACGAGTGGGTAGAACTCTTGGCTCCAGCAGTGATGACTCACTGGATGCCCATTGTATAATTCCTATTCTTTGCATGACATTGTTATATACTTGTTACAGCTGCTGGTCAATAAACCGTGTTTGTGTTTATATTCAAGTTGTTATTTTCGCTATACAAAGTGTGCAGTGATTGTAGATAGTCATTTGGAGACATAAATGCAAAGTTAATTAATGCGAGCAAAGACATTGCATATTTCACATTTATTTCACCATGTTCACACGCTTGCATTAATTTCAAGATTTACAGTATATAAGGCTGTAAAATTAATTGCTAGATTATCATCCACTTTTTTCCAAGAGTGAGAAGGGAGGCTTTTTATTTTCTATTAATGTCGTCAAGTTGAAAAATGGACACCTTGGAATGAACAATAGATGACTGACATAACAAAGATAATAAACAAACATTGATTTCAACAGTAGCAGCTGGATGTATCTGTGTCAAACCTATTTTCATTTTCCCTGCCCAATTTGTACTTGTACATTTAGGGGCGATCGGGTAGCCCAGTGGTTAAAGCGTTTGCTCGTCACGCCGAAGACCCAGGTTCGATTCCCGACATGGGTACAATGTGTGAAGCCCATTTCTGGTGTCCGCCGCCGTGAAATTGCTGAAATATTGCTAAAAGCGGCGTAAAACCATACTCACTCACTCACTCACTCACTTGTACATTTATGAATTTATCCTCCTAGACATTAACTTGTCAAGTTTCTGACAAGCAAACTTGTTGAAGATTTCGATAAGAGTAGCAGACTCCCGCAAAGGACAGGCAAAGAGTCTTTAATGGTTTCCACACACTCACACTCACAGCTGATAGTCAGGCAAACCCTCAGAGTTGGTTGTCAACCAGTTTACAGCATATCATAAATATGAATGGCTGTTTGACAGCTGATGTCATAACAGTGCTCTAAGCTCTAAACATTTCAGTCGGGGGTGGGGGGTGGGTGGGCATGGGCGGATACAGAGGGGGGTGCGCACCCCCCCTTTTTATTTAAAAAAAAATCTTTATTTCTGTATAAATTACCACCAAAGACAATAAATAGATCTTAATTGTGCACCCCCCCTTTTCAAAAAAGCTGTATCCGCCCATGGGTGGGGTTGTGTGTTACTCGTGCGATTTATTCATGAATCATACATGCATTTAGTGTGTTCATACTTTAAATTTTCATGTATTGTTTAACTTTGTTTAACTTTGCTAAACTTTCTTATTGTTAAAACAAATATATGAGTTTTATATATGTTTTCAAGCATACCATGGTTTTAACCGTGTCACTTTAAGGAATTTTGAACTCAGCATTCTTTGTCATGTCTGCAGCATATGCAACATTGTTGCTGAGGTATGACCTCATAGAAGATAGCTACCCGATACATCGCGAAGAACATTGAATTTGAAGAACGAAGCGTGGTTTATTTCATGATAAAACATTGTTCTGATTTAATAATAACACTGAATGAGATAGCAGTCTTAAACTGGTCTGCCAGACAGTTGGGCAGGAGGAGGAAAATTTCATGCAGCCCGACAGAAAAGTTACCAGCCACGGACAGGTGGGCAAGCAGTTATTTTGGACTCTACTCGCATATCAAGCTGACATGCTGTAATGTAACTTGAATACTGTTCAAAGCAGTATTAAACACAACTCACTCTGTTCCTTTTCATCATGTTTATTTACAGGGGGGTGGAGTATCCTGGTAGTAAATCATTAACTTGTCAAACCACACGGTCCAGGTACAAGTCTTACATGGGCACATTGAGTGAAGCCAAATCTTGATGTCTCACATCATGACGTGTCTGAGAAATTGCGAAAAGTTATTGATCAATACTCCTGACTTTGTGTTTATGTTTTTGCTCACCAGATGGCAGTGTATAAGCTGCGAGACCATATGGAGAAGTGTGCCAGTGCCGATCACAGTATTCCCCAGTTCCGGCCGGTCCGTGAAACCTCACAACCAGTACCCAGGTAGTGCCATGGAAACCGTTGCCAGTGTTTCATTTTGAGACTTTTTTAAAGTTTTTTTTTAAAAATGTCATGTGGGAGAAAAATATATATCAGCTTTATTGTCTTTGATCTCCAAAATGTTTTCACGAATATGCACGAACATTTGTGCAGTGAGAGCATATTTGTGGGACTGTTTCTCCACTTTTCATTTGTACTATGTCAAATCCATATTACAAGTTTGAGGTCACCTGTCTGAAAGTCAAGTGAGCTTATTTTGAGTTATGTGTGTTTTTTCTTTGATGACATTGGATTTGGATTCTTTTGCTAGCTTTTTGTCAAAAGTAGGGAAAAGATTCATATGTCACACGCATTCAAGCATTTTATTGTCATGAATCATCTTCTGCTCTGTTTTCATCGTCTTTCATCGCTCTGTTTCAGCAATGTTCCCAACAGATCCACCTTCCAGTGTCCATATTGTGGGGAGAAGAATTTGGAATGCTCCGCATTGGTCAAACATTGCAATGAGCAACATCGACACTGCCCACAACAAGTGGTGAGAACACTGTTAACATCTTGAAGGACAAGCTTTTCTCTCCCCAAATCTACATAGGTCTTCAGCAACCCACTCTTGCCGTAAAAGGTGACCATGTTTGTCGTAAAAGGTGACTAACGGGATCGGGTGGTCGGGCTCGCTGACTTGGTTGATGCATGTCATCAATCCCAATTGCGTGGATCGATGCTCATGATATCAATCACTGGATTGTCTGGTCCAGACTCGATTATTTGCAGACCACCGTCATATAGCTTGAATATTGCTGAGTGCAGCGTTAAACAACAAACCAACCAACCAACCAACCAACATATTTTCCTGTATATGTGTGTGTTACATAAATTGTAGATCTGTAAATGTGCTGTGGACTGTAATTAGTTAGTTTCTCTCATGGTGATGACCCCTGAAGATTATGTTACATGATGCAAAATAAAGTGCCCTATGCTCAAACAACTTGATGCACTGTGACTCCAAAGGGACTGAAAAATGTAAGACTGTTTGATTAAATTTTTGTATGCAGGTTAGATACTTTTGATAAAACATCCATTCAGTATTACTGTCCATTATCGTTTCTCGTTGCCATGGTTACAGCCCTGTTGTGTTTGATGCTACCTGCTGGTCTTGTTACTATGGTTACTGCCTTTTATGACACTTTTTCTGCTGCAGGTTTGTCCTGTGTGCGCGTCAATGCCATGGGGTGATAAATCTCGTGTCAGCGCAAACTTCCTGCAACATCTCAACCTCAGGCACAAGTTTGAATATGATACTTATGTAGTAAGTACATGCCATTAGCACCTCAGACGCAAGTTTGAATATGATACTTATGTAGTAAGTACATGCCATTAGCACCTCAGACGCAAGTTTGAATATGATACTTATGTAGTTAGTACATGCCATTAGCACCTCAGACGCAAGTTTGAATATGATACTTATGTAGTAAGTACATGCCATTAGCACCTCAGACACAAGTTTGAATACGATACTTATGTAGTAAGTTCATGCCATTAGCACCTCAGACACAAGTTTAAATACGATACTTATGTAGTAAGTTCATGCCATTAGCACCTCAGACACAAGTTTGAATACGATACTTATGTAGTAAGTTCATGCCATTAGCACCTCAGACACAAGTTTGAATACGATACTTATGTAGTAAGTACATGCCATTAGCACCTCAGACACAAGTTTGAATATGATACTTATGTAGTAAGTACATGCCATTAGCACCTCAGACACAAGTTTGAATACGATACTTATGTAGTAAGTACATGCCATTAGCACCTCAGACGCAAGTTTGAATACGATACTTATGTAGTAAGTACATGCCATTAGCACCTCAGACGCAAGTTTGAATACGATACTTATGTAGTAAGTACATGCCATTAGCACCTCAGACGCAAGTTTGAATATGATACTTATGTAGTAAGTACATGCCATTAGCACCTCAGACACAAGTTTGAATATGATACATATGTAGTAAGTACATGCCATTAGCACCTCAGACACAAGTTTGAATACGATACTTATGTAGTAAGTACATGCCATTAGCACCTCAGACACAAGTTTGAATACGATACTTATGTAGTAAGTACATGCCATTAGCACCTCAGACACAAGTTTGAATATGATACTTATGTAGTAAGTACATGCCATTAGCACCTCAGACACAAGTTTGAATATGATACTTATGTAGTAAGTACATGCCATTAGCACCTCAGACACAAGTTTGAATACGATACTTATGTAGTAAGTACATGCCATTAGCACCTCAGACGCAAGTTTGAATATGATACTTATGTAGTAAGTACATGCCATTAGCACCTCAGACACAAGTTTGAATACGATACTTATGTAGTAAGTACATGCCATTAGCACCTCAGACGCAAGTTTGAATACGATACTTATGTAGTAAGTACATGCCATTAGCACCTCAGACGCAAGTTTGAATATGATACTTATGTAGTGAGTACATGCCATTAGCACCTCAGACACAAGTTTGAATACGATACTTATGTAGTGAGTACATGCCATTAGCACCTCAGACACAAGTTTGAATATGATACTTATGTAGTAAGTACATGCCATTAGCACCTCAGACACAAGTTTGAATACGATACTTATGTAGTAAGTACATGCCATTAGCACCTCAGACGCAAGTTTGAATATGATACTTATGTAGTAAGTACATGCCATTAGCACCTCAGACGCAAGTTTGAATATGATACTTATGTAGTAAGTACATGCCATTAGCACCTCAGACGCAAGTTTGAATATGATACTTATGTAGTAAGTACATGCCATTAGCACCTCAGACGCAAGTTTGAATATGATACTTATGTAGTAAGTACATGCCATTAGCACCTCAGACGCAAGTTTGAATATGATACTTATGTAGTAAGTACATGCCATTAGCACCTCAGGCGCCAGTTTGAATATGATACTTATGTAGTAAGTACATGCCATTAGCACCTCAGACGCAAGTTTGAATATGATACTTATGTAGTAAGTACATGCCATTAGCACCTCAGGCGCCAGTTTGAATATGATACTTATGTAGTAAGTACATGCCATTAGCACCTCAGACGCAAGTTTGAATATGATACTTATGTAGTAAGTACATGCCATTAGCACCTCAGACGCAAGTTTGAATACGATACTTATGTAGTAAGTACATGCCATTAGCACCTCAGGCGCCAGTTTGAATATGATACTTATGTAGTAAGTACATGCCATTAGCACCTCAGACACAAGTTTGAATACGATACTTATGTAGTAAGTACATGCCATTAGCACCTCAGACGCCAGTTTGAATATGATACTTATGTAGTAAGTACATGCCATTAGCACCTCAGACGCAAGTTTGAATATGATACTTATGTAGTAAGTACATGCCATTAGCACCTCAGGCGCCAGTTTGAATATGATACTTATGTAGTAAGTACTTTGCACCTCAGACACAAGCTACAACCGTCCTTGGAATTCCAGGTTAGAATTGGTCCCAGCAGCCTGTGTTCATCATGGCGGCCAACTTTATGAAACGGGTTATGCAGGTGGTTGCTTGCATGTCAGTGTACCTGGTCACTGGGTTGTCGTGTTCAGGCCTGACTATTTGCAGGCCATCATCATTTAGCTGGAATATTGCTGAGTGTGGCATTAAACATAAGCAATCAAACATGTTTGAATACAAAAAGATAAATATCAAACTCCGCCCACATCTCTCCACACATCCACTTCTTGCCATAAGTAGGAATTGACTTGCCATAAGTGGGTATTGACTTGCCATAAGTGGGTATTGATTTGCCATTTATAAGTGGGTATTGACTTGCCATAAGTGGGTATTTACTTGCCATAAGTGGGAATTGACTTGCCAGAAGTGGGTACTGACTTGCCAGAAGTGGGTACTGACTTGCCATAGGTGGGTACTGACTTGCCATAAGTAGGTATTGACTTGCCATAAGTGGGTACTGACTTGCCATAAGTTGGTATTGATTTGCCATAAGTGGGTATTCACTTGCCATGAAATACAGGCCTATCTTTTCAAGTTGTGGATTGAGTCATAAGTCTGTGGCATACAAAAGCAGAAACATTTTCCTGGCCTGAAACCTTTTTCATCTCTATTATGTTGTTTGGCCCACTAACATTGACAAGACTATGAAATGAGGAAAACTTGAAAATCTTATTCAGTAGCATGGTTATTGAAAGTGTTCACTTGACTGTATCACATGTTAGGTAAGGACAACATCAATGACATATATCTCCATGTTTTGAGAAAATATTTTCTTCCAATCTTGCAGGATTACCAGCATGATGATGACTCCATGTTACAGGAGGCAATCCAGGCCTCACTGCAGAGCTTCTGACTCTTCAATAAGCTATTGGAGCCTCACTGCAGAGCTTCTGAGTCTTCAACAAAGCTATTGGAGCCTCACTGCAGAGCTTCTGACTCTTCAATAAGCTATTGGAGCCTCCCCACGGATCTTCTGACTCTACAACAAGCTATTGGGGCCTCCCTATGGATCTTCTGACTCTACAACAAGCTATTGGGGCCTCCCTACAGAGCTTTTGACTCTACAACAAGCTATTGGAGCCACATTGCAGAACTTCAGACTATTTGAACCTCTTGAGAGACTTTCCGACTCTGGAACTGACTATATGAACCTTTTTAGAGAGCTCTTGACTCTGGAAAAGACTATTTGAACATCCTGGCAGAAATTCTAACAGTGCCATGGATGGATGTGATGTTTGTGTGTTGAATCTGACCTTGTTCTACTGACTGAGATGTAAACTGTTGGGGCACCCATCACTCAGACAGTAGCGGAACTTGTTCCGGTTAACTTACTCAAAGACTAAAAGGACAATTATCTGACATTCAAATAACTATTCAAAGACCTGGGCCCCGTTCCACAAAGCGATTGTAGCACAAAGACAATTGTAACTCACATACTTTAACATGGATTTGTGACAGTCGTAGCGCTATGATCGCTTTGTGGAACTGGTCCCTGGACCTTACTAAATTTACTGTGTCATTAAGGCTCCATTAATTAATGTGCCATTTATTCGGTTGTATTAATTATTAATGACAAAATCCATACTTTAGACAAAGCATGCCTTACTAATATGTGATATTAGGTTGATAAGATGAAGGAGTCCGATAAATCTTTTATCCAAAACACGTCAAGTACATCACGAAATGAACATTGGAAGTGATGCATTTGGCAGTTATGATCAACCAAACTGGAAACTTTATACTTAAAGTATCATTACTGGTAGTAAATGATCCATTTTAATGTTGCTCATTTACTACTAAAACATTAAGATTTTAGTGAACCATGTGCGAAGCCCATTTCTGGTGTTCCATAACATTTCTTACTTCCCACTTCGTATATTGTGAAACTTTTGTTACCACTGACACAGACAAGAGATCACAAACTATTTTACCAATTTTTATTTTTTTTATTTGATTCGTATTTTGACAAGTATTGTTTTGAAAGTATTTGTCATGGAATTAGTACAAAATCGGCCTCTGCACTGCCACTGAATCTGCCGGTATACTGATATGTTATACACAACAGCGGCAGGAGCTAGGATGATTGCTTGAAGTCACTGGGGCATGGGTATGGCATAATTGGTGAAACTTCACAGTGGGTAAACTCATGTCAGTTGGTATGTGTCATGTGATACATCTCAGTTGGTATGTCATGTGATACATGTCATGTGATTCATGTCAGTTGGTATGTGTCATGTGATTCATATCAGTTGGTATGTCATGTGATTCATGTCAGTTGGTATGTGTCATGTGATACATCTCAGTTGGTATGTCATGTGATACATGTCATGTGATTCATGTCAGTTAGTATGTCATGGGGGAGCACGGGTGGCCAAGTCGTCTAAGGTGCCGCGATTCGCTGTGCAGAGTTGCGTCCCTTGGGCATGCCAGAAACCTATGATTGTGGGTTCGAATCCCGGTTCGCCCCGATTATGTTTCTAGGTTTGTCAGCACCATACCCGTGCTCGTGGGTTTCACCGAAGTGGTAAACGTCTGAGACCTGCATCACTTCGGGCTTTCCTCCCACATTAAGCTGACACGCCGTGATATAACTGGAATACTGTTAAAAGCAGCGTTAAAACCCAACTCACTCACTCACTGGTATGTCATGTGATACATGTCAGTTGGTATGTCATGTGATACATCTCAGTTGATATGTCATGTGATACATGTCTGTTGGTATGTGTCATGTGATACATGTCAGTTGGTATGTGTCATGTGATACATGTCAGTTGGTATGTCATGTGATATATATCAGTTGGTATGTGTCATGTGATACATGTCAGTTGGTATGTGTCATGTGATACATGTCAGTTGGTATGTTTCATGTGATATATGTCAGTTGGTATGTGTCATGTGATACATGTCAGTTGGTATGTCATGTGATATATGTCAGTTGGTATGTGTCATGTGAAGCATGTCAGTTGGTATGTGTCATGTGATACATGTCAGTTGGTATGCCATGTGATACATGTTAGTTGGTATGTGTCATGTGACACATGTCAGTTGGTATGTCATGTGATACATGTCAGTTGGTATGTCATGTGATATATGTCAGTTGGTATGTCATGTGATACATGTTAGTTGGTACATGTCATGTGATACATGTCAGTTGGTATGTGTCATGTGATACATGTCAGTTGGTATGTCATGTGATACATGTCAGTTGGTATGTCATGTGATACATGTCAGTTGGTATGTCATGTGATACATGTTAGTTGGTACATGTCATGTGATACATGTCAGTTGGTATGTGTCATGTGATACATGTCAGTTGGTATGTCATGTGATACATGTCAGTTGGTATGTGTACGACCATGCTAGGCCAGAGGCTGTTTTTGTTGACTCGGTTCTGAGCTCAAATGTCTCATCCTTGTGCAGTGTGGGACACCCCTCTGTAGGTTGTTTATTAACTATTGTATGTTTCCATAGCTTCCTGAAAGAATGTGCTTATGCCAAGTTTGTAAGCAATATCATGATAATGTTGATGATAATATTGAATACTAGGTGTATGATGACTATATTTGGTGCAAGACTCCACACCACAAAGTGACATGCTAATGGTGTCTCAAGTTGCTGTATGTATTGTCATTGTTATCTTGCTGCTGACCAAATATAAAACCGTAACAAATTTATGATGCCACTCTAGTATCTTAATCGCACATGTTATGTAAAAATGAAAACTTGATACTAACAACCGGCAAAATGACAAGACCAGTACATATAGTTCCTATTTACAACACTTTAATGAAAACACAAATGTCAACAATGGAATATAAGCTGCCATAAATGTGAAACTTTAGACAAGTATTAAAACTAAAATGGACAGAATTATCACAATAGTGCCCGCATGATATCAGAAATCTGCGGGCCATTTTCCCTAACGATAACGTTGGGCATGTGTCTATTCTATTGTTATGGGACGTCATCGGCTTCACGTTTCTTTTCTGTGACGTCATCGTATATTGTTCTATGGCACTGCTATTTGTAAATCAGTGAACTCCGCTGTGACTTTTTTTAGTTATACAGCCACTAAACATACACTGCTGTTTGTTGTTTTGTTCTTGTGTGGATTAGCTACAAATTCTATCCATTTTGCCTATAATAATGGCAACATTATTGTTCAGGGCATTATCATTTGCAGAAGCCCTTGATCTGTTCAACTGCCCTCATTCGTTGGCCACTCTTTTATTTTTATTAATATAATCATGAATGTGATTTCTTAAAAAATTAATGTCATTGCATATCACAGTTAATGATATATAAACACAAAACAGTGTCGAATAACGAATTTCCGTACCAGAATTTTCTTGTGAAATATGTGAGGTGGGTGTTTAAGAATCCAAGATGGCTGTTACTGACTGTATACAGTCTCATTAGGTCAGTAACAACCATCTTGGATTGTTATTGACAGTATACAGGCTCAAATGGGGGTTATTCGTTCTGCACTCTGATTGGTCAATCTCACTTTGAGGCATTATAAATCACTACCCAGGGCCCCCCATTCCACAAAGAGGATCGTAAGTCCATGTTTAAGTATGGGAGTTACGATCACCTTAGCCCTGAAATCGCTTTGTGGAATGGGCCCTGGTGAATGAATGGTTCAGTGTGCTTTCAAAATGCATTCTCGGCTCCTTGGGGAATATACAGATATTCACGATCCCTAACTTGTTTTGTTCAGTATACAAGCTGTCGGTTAGATTCTAGAAGGTGTGTATTTACATCACCATTACATGCAATACATGTGTAGCTTGCACATCCCCAGTGTTCCCTGCAGGAATTGCTGGAGAATACAACCACACACACCAACTCACATCCTGGATGCAGAAGTCTTTCTCAGTATCTTTTGTTTTTACGGTGGACAACAGAGGATTGGGTGGTCAGGCTTCATGATCAGGTGGTTACAGTGTGTGACTGCGTAGGACGCTAAGCATGCTTTGTTGTTGTTTGTTGGTTTGTTGTTTAACTCCACACTCATGATCAGCAATACTCCAGCTGTATTACAGGACCAGACAATCCAGTGATTGATATCATTAGCATCGATTAATCATGCTTTGAAACAGTGGTGTTCCTTATCCTGGCTTCATCGTATCTAGGCTGCACACTGACATTGCTTGAACATTGCTGACTGTGGCATAAAAGAACACTGACACACTCACTGAATGGAAGCATGGTAAAGCTTGTGTCTCGTAAGATATCCTTATGAATGTCTGATAACATGTCTTATGATGTATGTTTCTTCAAGATTGAACCGCCTCCGTGATCTTGTGGTAGAGCGTCCGCCCGGAGAGCGGAATGTTCGATCCCCGGCCGCGTCATACCAAAAGACGTTAAAAGATGGTACTTTTTGTTACCCTGTCTGGCGCTCGGCATTTAGGGGCTAAAACAAGGACTGGTCGGCTCGGAGTCAGTATACTGTGTCTGAGTGGGGTATTCATGTTATACTGCGGCATGGTATCTCAGTGAGCTGGCACTATAAATCGGCATCAGTCCGGACTAGTACAAGCAGCCACACACACACATGCATGCACATCGCTATATAAGTGCAATAATCTTGGACGCGACGTTTAACCCCATTTCACCTCACCTCACCTTCTTCAAGACTGTCTCATAAGGTGGGGCCCTGTGGTTTCCTGGTTAAGAAAATGTCATCAGGACTCATTGCCTGGCGTAAGAGGGGACATGATACAGTGATACAGTGATACAGTGGTGAGGCTTGGTGACTTGGTTGTTTATGTGTCATTGTGCCCTGACAGCTGTTGGTGCTCATGATATCAACCACCGGTTTGTCTGGCCCAGACTTGTACTTGATCTCTGCATGTTCCTGTATTTTGTCTATTTTCCAAAGGTCACAGAACCACAGACTTGTCACCACAAAACATTTTCCTCAGTTGACTTAAGTTTTTGTGGATATACCCCTGTGTCATCATGTGATGACCGGGGCGGTCGGGTAGCCCAGTGGTTAAAGCGTTCACTCGCCATGCGGGTTCGATTCCCGACATGGGTACAATTTGTGAAGCCCATTTCTGGTGTCCCCCGCCGTGATATTGCTGGAATATTACTAAAAGCTGCGTAAAACCATACTCACTCACTCACTCACTCACTCACTTACTCACTCACTCACTCACTGATGACCACAACAAAAGATGTCTACTATGTGAGGCTTAGAACTTTTCAATCAGCCATCTTATATAGATGCAATGATGCTGACTGTGGCCTAAAACAACAAATATTAAGGTGTGTCTCCTTGGTCCAGCCAACCGAGAGATGTGCCCAAGTCAGAATCCTGAGGCGTGGTCGGGTAGCCTAGTGGTTAAAGCGTTCGCCCGTCATCCCGAAAACCCAGGTTCGATTCCCAACATGGGTACAATGTGTGAAGCCCATTTCTGGTGTCCCCCGACATGATATTGCTGGAATATTGCTAAAAGTGGCATAAAACCATATTCACTCACTCACGCAGAATCCTGAATTCCCATCCAGTAGTCTAAAATCTGCCAGGAGACTTCTTACTTGTGACATTGAGGTTCTTTGAGTGGAGCATACACAGCAGTGCCATGCAATGTCTTAACATACAACATACAAATCCAACTAAAATATGATGTGACAGATACGCTGATGGCCTCATCCCTTAATGCCGTGTATGTGAAGATTCCGGGGTAGAATAGGTCTTCAGCAACCCATGCTTGCCATAAAAGGTGACTATGCTTGTCGTAAAAGGCGACTAGCAGGATCGGGTGGTCAGGCTCGCTGACTTGGTTGATGCATGTCATCGATCCCAAATGCTCATGATATCAATCACTGGATTGTCTGGTCCAGACTCGATTATTTACAGACCGCCGTCATATAGCTGGAATATTGCTGAGTGCGGCGTTAAACAACAAACCAACTAACCAACCTTAATGCCGTGGATCGTTGCTCACAATAATAATCACTGGACTGTCCGGTCCAGACTCGGTTGTATAGCTGAAATATTGCTGAGTGTGGTGTTAAACAACAAAGTAACATATGCTGATTTTGTTTTCATGTGCCCTGTTTATTTGTTCACTGATGTGTTTGTTATTATTTATTTATGGCTATATATCAAGCTCGACTGGGCGGTATTTAAATACTTAGAAGATTTAATCCTGGGTTCAATTCCTGGTTTGCCCTGATTATGTTTCTAGGTTTGTCAGCACCATACCTGTGCTCATGGGTTTCACAAAGGTGATAAACGTTGAAGTCCTGCATCACTTCTGGCTTTCCTCCTACATCAAGCTGACATGACGTGATATTACTGGAATACTGTTGAAAGCCGTGTTAAACCCAGCTCACACACTGATTTGAAGTTTACACAATATACAGCTTTTCCACTGAACGAGAGATCGGTCACATGGCCAAGAAATTGATGTACATAAGCGTGTGAACGGCACAATTTGACGTTCATACGTTATTC